TTTTGCGAAGGGATTTTTCATTTACTCCGTTTTTCGTCGGCGTAGTTTGAGAGGATATCTAGGCGAAATCATGGTCGAGAGTTTCGAGGGTTTCCAGGTGCCTTAGAATTCCCGGGAAGGGTGGGAAGGGCGAGGCGAGGGAGCGGAAGAAAAAAGGAAAAGGGGTTTTCATGAATTTCCGAGAATACAGAGGGTACACCCTGCGCGCCGAGGCGAGGTTTCCTGGGGGATGCGAGGCTCCCGTACCGGGAATCTCCAGGAATCTCCGGGATGACTTTTCTCAGAGTCTCGGGACTCTCTCGAAATCCGGGAAACGACTTCATTTTTCCTCCTACTTCTATTTTCATTAAAGTTTCGACCAAGGAAAAGTCGCCGGGGACCGATTAGCCCCCCTTCACCCGAATTAAAGCACCCCTTGCGGGGGACTCCCGAGGGAAGACTCGCTCCGGGGCCTCTTTTCCGGGGAAAGCCGGGAAAACGATTCGTTTGATCTGCTCCGACGACCCGCGGCTCCTCGTGCACGCGACAGCCCGGTTATTCTCCCCGATCGCAGCTTCCCGAAGGAGCCGACCCCCCTTCCAGGACCCCGTTTCAGTGGCAATATCGGGACGCAATAAATCGCGCGGTTATGTCTTTGAGAAAGCTGCTGGCACGACCCCCGAGTTATTCCAGGAGACACCCCTGGAAAGGTAACTCCACCTTTTCCTCCGGCGAAGATCCCGCGGTTTCGTTTATAAAACGGCCTAAAAAAAAAAAAAAACAATCCCTCGGAAAAAGGGTCGTTCCTATTTTTTATTAACTTCAGAATTGTTCCCTTTGCCTATTCCAGAGAGTCTGGACGTGAAAAGAAATTTCTAAATATCTCAAACTTTTTTTTTTATCGCCCTCTCAGCAGTCGGTGCACCGCGGTGCATGCCGAGGCTGCAACGCGAGTCCTTCTAGCGGCGATTTTTCAGCCTCCCGGTAAGGGACCTCCCAAGGATCTTCGACTTTATATCCTTTTCAGGGCCGTCGGGAGATAACTTAGTCGCCTGTCAAGCCCGACTCCTGGGTCGGCCAAAGGGCACGATCTCTCCTTCGGGATTACCTCTTCCACAAAAAAATTAACAATCCCCCCAGTCTCCTTTATAGAGAGGGGAAAGAATTACGAGCGCACCCCAGAATTCGCAGTTTCGGATGTCCCACGGGTCGCGGGACATCGCTGGTCGCTCTTCAGGGTCGACTCCGCCTTTCGGATCTCAAGGATGATTTTCTCCATTTTATGGTCCTGTGCAAGGACGTCTGCAAACTGTTTCGCACCTCGCTCTCCCAAGGCGGCCGAACTGCATTTTTGCGTTCCCAAGCACTTCTTACGTATTTTAAGGATTTTCCCGAAATTTCCATTTCAATTTCTTCCGTCATTTCGAGAAGGTCTTCAGGGTCGTAATGATATGCAAATGATGTCCGTGCCCTGTGGAAGCGGTTTTATTTGCCGTCCGGCCCTTGGCATCTTTTCCGACGTCGTCGCTTTATGAGTCCCCATCCCGAGCACCCCCGGAAGGGGTAGTCACCCCCTGGGGGTATTTTGTAGCATGTAAGTCGCGGGGCACAGATTCCGCGGATCCTCGAGCTTTGTGTCCTTATCCGGTTTACGAGCACATATCTTTACGGCCCCCGTCGGCGGCTTTTTCACCCCCCGGGGGAAACCGCACCCCCGTATCGGTACACGGACACAGAAATGGCCCGTAAAAATTACCACGGCGTGCCGGGGCTGGGATTTACGGGAGACCCCGGGAAATCGGCGTTTCCCGGCCCGGAAATATCCTTCTCCGAAATGGTGGCCGCGAGTTTTTTCACCCCTGCCAAAATTCACGTTTTCGCGCCGGCCCGAAATTTCCGGGAGAATCGGCCGAATTTTTAACGCGTAATATCCTTCCGAAATGGCCGTCGCAAATTTTTCCACCCCTGCCCAAATTCGTATTTTCGCGCCGGCCCGAAATTTCCAGGAAAATCAGTTGACTTTTTTTTTTTCCGCCAAGAGTATCCTAACGAAATGGTTGCCGCGCATTTTCCACCCCTAGCCGAGTTCGCGTTTCGCTCCGTCGCGGAATTTACGGGAATATCGGCTGATTTTTGGACGCGACGTAACCCACGGGACCGTAAACGCCAGGAATTATATCGATTCGAAATATTCCCCGGGAATCCTATTTGAAAGCATCCCGTAAATGTGGGAAGCGGGGGTAAATAAATGCGTAAAAAAAAAAAACAGGCTGGCCTAAAAAAATTCGTTTTGCATTTCAAGTCGCAAAAAATCAGATCACGTATAATGCCCGTGTTTTCGAAATTCTCGCCTCGCGTTTTGCCAAGTCGAGGGTCGAAGTTCGAATTCAGGACCGACTCGCGCCAAGTTTTCACTTATATTAGAGGCATTCGCGAGGATTACTCGGCGAGCCCGGAAAGTATTCGTCCCCTGGGAAAATGGACGGGGTGCGATCGCGCGGAATGGCGCTAAGGGGTGGTTTTCACCCAAAGCCACTCGAGAAATAACCCGGAAAATACGAGGCCAACTTTCGGCGTTTATCTCCCGCGGCGTCGTTAAACCTTGCAGTCGTTTTAAAGTCGCGATTAAAAACCACCCCCGAGGAAAAACCCCTCAAAAGCCATCGGATTAATTCGGGGATTTTTTTAGATTTCTCTCGGTTTTGCACAAAATCGGGATAAAGGTAGTGAAGTATTGACGACGAGAGAAAGAAAGGGAGGGAAGAGACGGAGACGTGGGGAAAAGAAGAGAGAAAGAGATAGAGGGATGCGATTCGCGACGCGCAATTTTCTCGCACGACGGTTCCCTTCTTTTCCGCTCTCCCTCCTCCTGCCCCTCGTTTTCTCCCCCTTTCTGTCTCACTCTCCCTCTCCCCCGATATAAAGAAACGTCGCCAGGGAGTGTTTCGCCCCGCTTCGTTTTCTCGAAGGCAGGGAACGAGTGCCGCCATGAATGGCATTAATTGGAGTCAAAAGATACGGAGAGAGCACCCCTCGGCACAAGGGAGAGAGAAAGAAGGAAAGGGGGCGGGAGGGAGAGAGTCTGGAATAAAGTTTCCATTATTCCGGAGCCGAGCCGGAAGCCAAGTGCGCCAAGGGGTGGAGAACTTTGGCGGGAAAATCGACCACCCCCTTCCGTATTATTCCACCCCCCTGCGGGGGCGGGTCGTTTTCTCGTAATTAATCGATCTCGAGTGCGAGACGTCTCGCAAACAAGAAGTCCCTCGGATGTCCGACCCCACGTACTTTCCGGCGAAATTAATTCCACCCCCCATCCTCCCCGAAAAAAAGAAATTCCTGGCGAAATTTCTCATTACTCCCCCGATTCGTCCTAACAAATTTTTCTATGGTATGGCAATTTCCAACAGATTTCCACGTGATTTAGACTTTTAAAATCCATGATTTCCTGAGAGAATACCCCCTTGTCCCGTACCCTCTTCCACAAGGAAACTAAAAAAAAGGAGTTGAGATTAATTTCTCTCTCTTTTTTTTTTTTTTTTTCAATAAATAATTCCACCTTGCTCCTAATTCCTGGAATTGCTTAGCTTCTCAGCTTAGCTTCTCTCGTATGTACCCGAGCATACACACCCACGTATATATGTACATATGGAAACGCGTATACAGGAGCATATATGTACGTAGGGGGTTTGCTCGGCTCCCGGAGTACCCCGAGGATCCAGAATTTACGAGTACTCTGTAAATCTGTACCAGTCTGATTCCCGTGACCCCCCGCTAGGGCCGAAGAGGGGCGCGGGGTGCAGAGGGTTAACAGGGGAATCCCTCGGGATAAGACGAACGGATCCGGGAGCCCTCGGTCTCTATCTCCGGCCATCCCTCGAAAGATTTTCCGAAAGCCGTCTGTTTATCGAGGTTGATCCCATTACACGTGTCGGTTCTGCCCCGGATTTTTGTTCGGGACCCCCCGCAAATCTCGCCATTTTTCAAAATCTCAACGGCAAGAAACGCGGCCAAACTGCCCGTACGAATTTCCTTCTGCATTTCCCGAGGTGGAAATTAAAATCCCCGAAAAAATTCTCAACTCCCAATGAAATCTTTTTTTTTAAACCACACCTGAGATGAATTTTCGTCTCGTCTTATCATCGATACCTATCACCTCGTAATTAGGTCGATAAAGCCTTCTCGAGATTCCCTCCCGCGGGATGTACCCCTTCTCCCCCCGAAACTAATATCAATCTTCCGAAGTACGACAAGAAGTTCTTTGGGGGAGAGGAAGGGGGCACCTATATTGTCGGATAAAAGCACGTACTCGCGCTAAAAGCGCGCTAATGGCGTTTTCAAGTTGTCAGAACTTGCGGCGATGTGCCTAATTGTTGAATTATGCAGCAGGGGGTGGAGGAGGGGGCGATTACACGTATCTTAGGGGGTCGAAACGACTTGCGCGGGAAGTGCCCTTTGTAGGGGTACAATTATTGCCGTTTTATGGTAATCGATTGTCGTTATCGATTTCATCTGCCGGAGGGGCGAAAAGTTTGAGAATCGCGAGGGATCTTCGGGGTGTTCAAGTTCTAGGACGTCTTTTTCTGGAGGAGCCCCCCAGTCGGGGGCAAATGGCACGAGATTGCTCCCCTTAAACTTACGAAGTTGTTTTCCGAGTCGGCTGGCCGGGTAACCAGTTAATTTCCTAAAATATTAATTAAGTCGTCGCTGGTTAGTCGGAGTCGCGGACGGGCCGAAAGTTTTCGCATCTCCGGGCCGACTTCAGCCGTCGGGTTTCCATTCAGGGAGGATTAATTGCTCGGAGGTTAATCGACTCGACTGATGGATCGGTTGGAGGATAATTACTGAGAATGGATTGACAGATTGAACGGGGGGGACTTTTTTTTTTTCTTTCGGAGTAACCGAATAAATCGAAGGGGCGAATTTTGTATATTAATTAATAAATCGAGGCGGCAAGTTTTGCGAGTAGACGCGTTAATAGGGAATTTTGTTAATAAGCGAGCAAATCGAATTCATGGTTCCAGAGGACGAGAACGCCCTGGTGCAGGGCGTCGTCACCGAGGACGGGCTCTTCGACGGCACCGTGGTCACCAATCTCGAGGAGTACTACATCGAGCCGACCAGCAGGTACTTGTCGGAGAACGAGGACACGTCGCCGTTTTATCACACGATCGCCTATCGGGGGTCGGACGTCACCTCGCCCCCTCAGTCCCTCAGGTGCGCGAGCCAAGATCTGCACAGAGGTACTCTGGCCAGCTCCCTGAAAAGGTAAGTCGACCCGCACCTGTTCGAAAAAACGGAGTATCGAGAGCAAAAAATATGGACAACGTCAATTGTTTTCCCCGCAGCACGAAGAAATTCAACATCGACAACGACACCTCTCAGCCCTTCTACGAGCACCTGCTGGACAACGAGGTGCACCTGCACGGGGGCCTCTACTCCAACGAGGCGGTGACCAGGGCGAGCACCTCGAAAAACCTCGACGTGGACCACCTGGGCAGGTGAGGTATCTCCCAAGATTTCTCCTGAATTTTTTTTATCCCCCCTGGCTGAGGGGAAATATTTCGAAAAATTGGAAATTCTTCCCAGGCTGTACAGGGAGCGATTCGCGAGGCACCTGCACAAGCGGGCCACGGTGGACCCGAGGAAGACCACCTGTATGTTGTACCTGCAGGCCGACCACCAATTTTTCGCCAGGTACGGAACGGAGGAGGCCTGCATCGAGGTCATGACGAGGCACGTGCAGAGGGTCAACTCGATTTACAAGCACACGGGCAAGTACTTCTTACGAGTCTGTCAAATCCGCCACATTTATCCGGACGCTTTAGATTGGACGGAAAAGCTTGTATCTTTTTTTTTCTTTCCGCGAGACGATGCAGGATTTTTCCTCGCTTTTCTCGATCAGGTGTCGGGCACCCTTAGGCGGTCCCACCTCGTCCAGGCTCGCCTTTGGGGGTGAATTTCGAGCGGTTTAAATTGGAGAGCACTTCGAGGCAATTCGGTGGAATCCGAGTCGGGCCCTCCCCCCGAAGCTGAAATCGTAATAACTTGGAAAGTCAAAAGCAAAGGCCCACTCTCTTCGGGGGGTGGAGGCTCGCTCTTGAGGGGTGGATGCTGGAACGGCGGAGCGTAAAGGCTCGGTGGCTAATTAAAAATTACCCCCCTCCCTAGAAATCCCCTAGCCAACGATTTTCCATCAGCATCCTCTGGGAATTCTCGGCGTTCTTCGAGGCCCCCGCTTTGCGGAAATATTTCGACAGCTCGATTGTTCGCTTTCGAGGGGAGTCTGCTATTTATTTCAATTTTTAATTCATATTTTTTATCCAACTGGAATCGCGATTTTCGGAAGGAATGAGGGGGCGTTCGATTGAACCCCCTCCCCAAATGGGGACCAAAATGCCAATATTGACATACCGCTGTTCGACTCGTATATGCATATCGTCGCCAATATTGATAATTTCATGGCTGGATTTAATGGATCGGCTCGGGTTGCGAACAATATTACCGCATTAAATGCACTGTGTGGGGAGGGGAATTTTCGAATCATTTTCGGTGGAAAGGGGTTGAATGGAAATTCCTTCCAACATTTGTTGTATTAAATTTATCTGCGATAGTAATTTCTCTTTTTCACATTTTTTTTCCAGACTTTAATCAAGACGGCAGGCCAGACAATATCAGCTTCATGATCAAGCGAGTGAAGGTGCACAGCGGGGATGCTGTGCGGGACCCAAACTATCGATTTCCCGGGAATTACGGGGTGGAGAAGTACCTCGAGCTGTTTTCCGGTAAGAAATCCCTCCGAATATGACCGGCCATTAAAAGTTCTCCTACCTGAAAGTTCCTATAATTTACGGGACATATATCGGGCCGGAATCCATCGGGGAGGAAATAAAAGCAAGCGTTATTATTTCCACCCCCGGCACGTGATACGGCCGGAAATAATTCTCCGGGATGGGCATAATAAATTCAAAGCCGACTGCTCAAGTCGGCCATTTCGGCGATAACAGCCAAGGATTTAACGCTAATTCGAAGATCCAATAGCCGCTACTCACCATAAAAATATATATATAATATATGATAACACATTTGCAATATACAGAAAAAGAAAAGAAAAAACGCTCATTAATTTCCGGACGGTCCAATAAATTCAGTACACGGGTGCATGAATTTCCCTGCACGGTCTCGCAAATTTACAACGCGACGTCGTGGAATTATAAATCCATGTAGGAATTTTTAACGCCTTTTCCGACGTCAGATTTATAAGCTCGGTGTCTTAGACCTCACGTACTGGAAGCGGAGGAATTTTGTGAATATCATTAACGGCGCGGCTACCCACTCACCCCGGGGAATTAGAGTCCATCAAGACGTAATGCGCCTAATGGCGTAATTGCTCGGGCAAATTTCACGCTCCAGGATCCGCCATATTTGCGATAATTTTCTTCGGCAAATGTCGAGCTAGAGTGCCTGGGGTGCATTATTCATGCGAAGACGCACGGTGCGGTAGGTCGGGTCCGCGGTAACTCACTCCGGGGATATATATGGCCCCCCTTGCTGCCTCCTATATCTTATTGCGCATCCACTGTGTATCCCGTCCGTACATCCCCTCGAATCCCCCATAAGCAGGGGCGAAGTCGGGCCAAAGGTGTTCCGGAGATGGCGTCCATGAAAGGTCCTGTCCGAGGGTGCCTCGCATCCGGACGCGACGGGGATGGGTCGGAGAAGGACAGGGTTTCTCATTAAATCCGGTGATAGTGACGGGGGAATCACCCCCGACGAAACTTGCAGATGGAATAAATTTCCCCCTCCCTCCGCGAATATAAAATTCCAGTTAATTAAAACGTCCGATTCCAATTAATCCCGCGCGTTACTTACGGGGGCTCGGGGGAAGGCATCGGGGGGGGGTTTCATTTTTTATTCCACAATTAGAGGTGGAGGAAAAAAATATACGCCATCGGTGGAGCTCGGGAATCGGTCGTTCGGGGATTTTGACACGGGGCCCCTTGTATTACGAACGTGTCGAGAATCCACCCACCTAGGGGATGGGATCATCCCCAGACCCCCCAGGGAAACGTTTCTCCCAGCTGCCGTCCGACCGTAGGGTACGACTGCCAACCTTCGACCAACTTCGAAATGGAATAACTTTTTTCCCCCCGAGGAGAGCGCCGCGTGGAAATCGCGGTGGCGAAAATCGAAACAACCGTCAAAATCCATGATCTCCGATTTTCCGTGAAAATCGATGTTGCTCAGAAATGCCGACGGGCCCCTTCGCGAATTTCTCGAGTTTTCCGAGTTGTCGCTCCGAGGATTTACGCGTCGCGGGAGCTCGCAACTAATTTCGTTGCCGCGTTCGTAAATTACCTGCCGACGACATTTCCGCTGGAACGTACGAGGGGAAAAGTCAAGCGAGACCACCGCCTTTTGGCTCGACCACGTGGCCCGCATGCCCAGTTCCGATTGGCCCGGCGTCACGTGACCGCCCCACGTGGTCAGCCGACAGCTGTCACCCCGACCACGTGCTCGCCAGCATCCGATCTCGGGCGCGCTCGTTCCCGGGGGAAGGCGCGTCGCTCCGTTTATTTCGATCATTCGGATTACTGCCGCGGAAACGACGGGCGAGAGGAGCGCACTCGAGGTTTACGGCCCGGCACGGGGCGGGGAGGTTTATTGCCATTTGCATTCCTCGGCAGGCCGCGCTCCAGGGCCGCCGATCCGCCCGAGAAATGACAAATCTCCGCCTTGGCGTTATTACTTCCGCCGGGGACGTCCCTTTACGTGCTCGGGGGTCCCGCGGGTGAGCGCGCGCCAGGCGGAAACGAGGTATTCATTTTGAAAGGGCCCTCGTTACGCGGTTAACCCTTCTTTTCGCCGCGACCGGGGCTTTTGCCACGGCGAGAGACTCAAAGTGCGCGGGGAACTCGCCCGGGACGAGGGCGCGCCTGCTGAAACGACGGGGAATTTCTCGCACCCGGCTGACACCGTTGCGCCTTTTTCGTTTTTACCTGGAGTTTCTTTTTTGTATTTATATTTCTTTTTTTATCCCTCTCTTTACATGTAATCTGGGGCGGCGTGAACACTCTTTCCTCCCCGCGTTCTTCCTCTACCTTCCCTCGCGGTCTTACTCTTGCGAAATTCTTTCGCGAGGAATTATGGAAATTTTGGGGGACGGTCGTGAATGGCTAACGGCGAGCCACCCCCCGGGGAGGATCTCGCGAGGATCTTTGAACACGCGCCGGACAACGGGGCATTATTCGACGAGAACGCTGCGAGGAGAGGACGATTGCTCTCGACGTTCTCGCAAGGGTGCTTTTCCTCCGGCATTTGTTCGCGTCGAGGGCCGGCCTCTCCACGGCCATTTTGCCCTCCCGCCGTGAGAAAACGTCACGAGCTTCGACTTTCGCCCGGAGGATCGTTGGTGAAGTCTCGCTGATGCCCCCTAGTCTTGCTGAAAAATTAGCGCGAAGGGGGGAAATTAAACGGGGGGTACCTAATGAAGGAGGGAAAAGGGATGCCAAGGACGGGGGAAAATTGTTGAGAGACGAGAGGGAGGAATCGTTTCTGGTATTCGGCCTTCCCGCTGAACGGTGCGAAATTACGCGCGGCGTTCTTATTTCCTAATTAAACGACTCGTTTCAGGAGGGAGGGAAAAAAGCTCCGATTCGTGGAGGAGTTTAGCTGCGTGTCTCCGTCTCTCTTCCTCGTTTTGCATTCCGCCCTTGTGCGTTCCCGTACCTCGTGCTCGTTAATGCTTAACCTCCCCCCGGCGACGTTCCCTTCGGGCAAAACGGCGTTATACACGAAGAATGGAGTTAATTCGCTGTCGCATGAAACGAAACGTGGAATTACCGATTCAAACCCGGACTCCGCGGAATTAACCCCCTCCCTGGTCCCGGGTAATGCCGCGCCTCGAGTCTTGCGATTTCGCGACGATAACGACCGGCGAAACGATAACGCCGTTAGGGGCGATTTATTTACGGGAGATAGGAAAATATCAAAAGTGCCCTGGGATGTGGAAATTGTCCTCCCTTTTCGTGATTTCACGGTGATTTCCCTTTAAGGGTTTAACGGCGCAGCCCGTTGATGGCCGGCACTTGGCCCGTTTCGAAAAGTCGAGCCAATGCCCTCCCTCGTCTTATTCAGATTCGGTATACCAGGGGATGGCTCGGGAAAAATCTTCCCCCGACCAGGCGAAGGGTCCCCGAGGTCTTTGACCCATTTCGCGCTTTCTGTCGGGGAGATGAAAATTAAATGTCATTATGCAAATCGCCTTTATCAGTTAACGCGTTGCCTCTAATGGCTCCCCGGGAATCCGCCCACCGTCCCCTGGGAATATCACCAAGATTTGCAATACGATTCGCTTAATTTCCCCCCTCGAACGACTCTATTTATCACGGCCAACTCGTTGAACGGGAAAAAATGGACGCGCGAGTCCTGGGATTAATAATAAAACCCATTCTTTTTTTTTCCCCGCGAAAATCACGTTTCGTCATTTATTTGCAGACGAGGATTAAGGGTTCTGCCTGGCTTGTATGTTCATACGCCGGGATTTCCCGAGGCGAATATTTCCATTATGGATTTTTTTTTTCCTTTTTTTAATGAAAATCACGTACCGTCATTTATTTCCAGAGGAGGACTACGACGCATTCTGCCTGGCTTACATGTTCACGTATCGTGACTTCGAGATGGGAACCCTCGGCTTGGCCTGGACGGGCGACCTGAAGAACGCCGGAGGCGTTTGCGAGAAAAACGGGGTAAGTTTTCGCGGCGGCCCTCGTAAGGTCGGATTATGTCGTCCGAGGGGATACTCCCGCTCTTTACGGCCGGCATTTGCATAAATTATACGAGCCGAGCCGGCCCGCGAAATACGCTGATGAGTTTTTAACTGCAACGGGGGTTTCGACTTTGACGGAACTTTGCCATCGCCCGCAGACCTCGAGGTCTTCTCTCCCCTTCTCTCGTAGCGAATCCTCTCCGAGGGGTGGATTTTTTCCACCCCGACCAACGACTTTCCCGAACGAAGGTATCTCAGCCCCTCCTGCATGAATTACACGAACGGCAAAAAATTACAAAATCGTCGGTACCGTTCCCCATAATTGAACACCAGCAGGCTTAACCCGAAATGAACGATCAAATAGGTGTTTTTTGATCATTCAAATTCAGAGCAAATACCTACGGTAGATACGAAAATAATTAATTTTCAATTCAAGTTGCCTGTTAAATCCGATAGTTTCGATTCGCGGATTAAATTTCTCGGTGAGCGTTCTTCCCGGCGGAGCTTCCTCAAACGAGACTGACTGGCGTTTCCGGAGTCGCAGCTTCCGACCAGCCGCGTTTGAAACGTCAAAGCACAGAACTGGAACAATTCGCGGCTTTCCTCCCCCTTGCCCATCCCCGTGGAAGCTCTTTAAGCGCGCCGCGTGTTGGCGGATCCGGCTCGGCTTAGCCGCGTCGCGGATCCGGCGTGAGCTTTTGTCCCCGAAGCTCATGAAAGGTGCTTTCGATGATCGAGCCCGCGCGAGCGAGAACTCTCCCTCTGGCTTTGAAAGCACCCTCGACACCTTGCAGCCCCCTCCACCCCCTTGAAACGAACGTCCGATTTTTCCTTCGCGATAATTCCCGGACCAAGAAAATGTGTAAAACGGCGTGGGAAAAAAATTCCGAGTGGATCCGCGTCTTCTCGCTCCCGATGACTTGACTTGGTTTTTTTTTTAACAATGTCGACGTCCCTGCCCCTCTGGACGGAAGACGAGGGGAAGGAGAAAAGGTGGCCTTGGGGCGCTTTATTTTCCGGGGTGCGACCAAGGGGTGCTTCGGGCTCGCCTTTCCTCGTCCCTGCAACCTCGTAATTTCCAGGGGTGAACCGAGCCCCGTCTCTGACCCGCAATTTATCGCCACCGTCGTCCCTTATTTCTCTATATTTCCCAATTCTTTTACTATTTTTAAATCGAACACTCACGTATTTCACGTATTCCTTTTTTCTTTTTATTCCCTAGTTCTTTATTTTTTAATGGTTTCCCCGGTGGAAGGGACATTTAGTGGTTTTCTGGGAGACCGAGTCGTCCCTGTGGAAACGCCACCCCTGGGGCGGACAAAGTGTCGCCCGCAAAGGATACGTGTGTCCAGGGTAAGCAGATACTAAAAGGGACGTTTCTCCGTGGCCAAGGGCAAAGGGAATGCGGGATATTAAATATCGATCCCCGACCTATGCCGAATAATTCCGCGGGCCGCTCCCGAGGGCCGCACCCCTCGGATCAAACGATTTATAGCCGCCCTAATTGGGATTGCACCCTTGCGGGTTAAGAAGCATCCTCTTAGAGTCCACGTCCTAAGGGTGGATCTACTCGGTTGAAAAAAAAAAATACACGGGGGTATAGGTGTACGTAAGAAAGGGTGTGGAAATTATTTACCCTCGACGCGTCGATGGAATTTCGCGAATATGGAAGGAACATGGGAACTCGTGCCGTATCAGACCCCATCCGGCATGCAAATCGCCCTTACGTGCTCCGTAACTTCCGGGTGGAATCGTACCTACGCAAACGCAAACCGAGGGTTTCCGGCTTGTTGCAGCACTATCGCGGCAGCATGAAGTCCCTGAACACGGGGATTGTTACCCTGCTGAACTACGGGAAGCACGTGCCCCCAGCCGTGTCGCACGTCACCCTGGCCCACGAGATCGGACACAATTTCGGCTCCCCGGTAAGTTGCGGAACTTCATTTTTCATTTCTCAAATCTCGGCCAAGAATATGAACTCTCCACCTTGAACCTTCCGCTCCCTTGAGGTGATAGAGAAAGGAAATTCGGTGCATCCTGTCTGTAGAAAAGTTGTGTCAATATTTCGAGGTTCTGTGTATGTTGGATAACCCTTTCGTGTCACCTTAAAGGGCACGCTAGCAATCGGAGACCACGAGAGACTAGAGGGGTCAGGTGATTAGCCGGACCGGATTAATCCGCGGCCGGAAGAAGCGGGATTAACCAGGGGTGGATTAATTATTGGCTGGCGCCCTTTGTTGCAGCACGACCCCGAACAATGCACCCCGGGAGGGGAGGACGGCAACTTCATAATGTTCGCCCGTGCGACCAGCGGCGACAAGCGCAACAATAATCGCTTCAGCCCTTGCAGCCTGAACGCCATTAATCCCGTGCTCAATACCAAAGCTCGCTCCCCGAAGGGTTGTTTCACGGGTAAGCTTCAACCCCCCGTGAACCCCGAGACTCCCCAGGGGGTGGTCCCGTCAGGACGCGGCCACTTGGCAATTCATTCGCGGACATCGGCCCTGAAATTCCGTCTCGTCTTTGCATAAATTCGACGGATCCGCGATGTCGGAATCGTGGACAAATTAAAAAAAAAGTATATAAAAAAATAAGGAAGAATAGGGAGGATCGCTTCGCTCTAAAATTCTCATTTTCCATGTTTTCCGCGTTTTTCGCGGTTCCCACGCACGCTTCGTTAAAGCGCGAATTGCGGGGAAATCGAGCCCTTTGAAGTCGGCGGACGCGATTTTTCCTCCATTTTTATGTTCAATTATGAAGAAACGGGGGAGGACGGAATTGCGGATAGGACGCGGCCGATCGGATCAACGTTTGGCTGTTCATTAATTCCTCCGCCGATCGCGAGGGATTCCCTTGCGATTTTATCCGGGCTTTGTTTTACCTCTGACTTTTCCATTCTTTCCGTCCGCCCTCGTTCCGCAGAACCGCAGGCTTCCCTGTGCGGAAACGGCGTCGTCGAGGACGGGGAGGAGTGCGACTGCGGCTGGGAGGAGGACTGCAGGGACTCCTGTTGCTTTCCTCAGCGTCGGTATCCACCTGCCGAGGAGACCCCCTGCACCCTGACACCTGGGTCCGTGTGCAGTCCGAGCCAGGTGACCTCAGAAAAAGTCTAAACTAACCGAACGTCGAATCGTTACGTTGAAATTAAATCTACGTTGCCTAAATAATTTTTTCACCCGTACAAAAAAAAAAATATCGACAAAAAAAATATCGTACACCTTCGGTGGATCCGCGTTTCGAATTTAGTGACGTTTTATCGGGAACTCTTTTCCCGTTAAGGTGATACGAAAATTACATTATATTTAATGCACGGACGTCGGGAATATTTTTGATCTCTTTCTCCAGGGCCCCTGCTGCACCAACGAGTGCAAGCTGCGGTTCGGCGACAAGTGCAGAGACGACAACGGTTGCAGGGACGCGAGTTTCTGCGACGGCCGAGCCCCCCACTGTCCGCCCTCGATCAACAAGCCCAACAAGACGATCTGCAATCAGGAACTGGTCTGCTTCATGGGAGTGCGTGTCGACGTTCTACGGGCTCGATCGAGTGGATATTAAAAATCGAGGACTAAGAGATACGTCTTTTCCCCCTGTCCAGGAATGCACGGGAAGCATCTGCCTGGCGTACGGCCTGGAGTCCTGTCAGTGCATCCCTGGACCGCACGACCCCTCGACGAAGGCCTGCGAGCTCTGCTGCCGCCTCCCGGGGGAGAACCAACCGTGCCTGTGGGTATCGAGTCGCCGCAAGAAAATCCCTCCGCGAATGTACTTGGCGCGAGACGCTACCCGGTTCTTTACCCGGGTGCACTCGGCGCGAAACTCCACCGAGTTTCTCGGGAGATGAGTCCTGCGAAATTATGCCCCGCCAAGTACCTTCCGCGATTTACCATCTCCGTCCATCTTCCTTCTTTTCTCCCTTTTTCAGGTTTTTCTCCTCAAAGGGGCTAACTCCATTACCGCGGCCTCTCCTTCCGGGGGGTCGTCCTCGAACGCGATTTCAGCCCCTAATCGAATGAGCCCGACCTCGATTGCCCACCTCTAAGCGACGTCTTCCCGTTCGATCCGCCAGGAAACGGGAAACGGGAGAGGCAAATCTGCAGGAGTCGCGATCAGCTGATTTCGGGTACTGGAACGTTTGACGTAGTTACGGCGACGCTTGACGTCAAACGTCTCGACCGAAACCGTCGTCGCGTGAAACGTTTGCGTTCTCGTCGGCACGTCAAACGTTCCTAACGTCCTCCACGTGACGTCGGACACCTCTAACGTCCTCGTCCTTGAGCCGAAACGCTTCCAACGTCCTCGTTGTTACGCGAAACGTTTGCGACGTCGTCGTAACGTCAAACGCTTCCACCGTTCTCGTCGTTACGCCGAACGTTTACGCCCTCGTCGTTAGGCGGGACATTTCCAGCATCCCCGTCGTTATACGTCGAAACGCCCCGACGTATTCATCGTTAGGTCGAGCCGTCGTTCCGACGAGCGCTCCCAGCGTCGCATCCGTCGACCCCCGTGGCTCTGAATCAGTGATTAGGAGGGACCGATCGGGTCGCGGAATCATGAAACGCACCGAGGGTCGCCGACCCGCTCCAATTCCGTGTCGTTGTTTACCCCGCACTCCCCGCAATCGGTCGCCCGGCAATCGGCCCTCGAATTAGGGCGCAAACCATAATGGGATTAAAATTGAATGACTGCTCGATCGGTGACTTCCTGGGGCCTCCGTCTCAGGGTGCCAATTCCCGGTCGCGGACTCAACGACGAGGGAATGCAAATTCAATTGATTTTGGCCTTGATTCTTGCTTTCGGTTTTGCTAGATTCATGATCGATTTATTCTCTTCAGGTCTTCGTTCGACTGGAATTCCCCGCCTTATGACATCCCCGACATGTTCGCCAAGCCTGGGACCCCCTGCAACGACTACAACGGGTACTGCGACGTCTTCCAAAAGTGCAGAGAAGTGAGGACCGTAGATTGTGAGAATTCTTAATAAGCAGTACATCTTTAACGGGATATCTCCTCGGTCCAGGTGGATCCCAGTGGACCTTTGGCTACCTTGAGGAAGCTCCTACTTTCCGACGAGAGTCTCGCCACGTTTAGAAGATGGGTCGCCGAACATTGGTACGCGGTCGGCCTGATAGTACTCGCCGCGATATCAGTTCTGGTACGTATCCTCCGCAGCCGAGTATTTTCGGATAAGCCGGGATCATTTGCTCAAAAATATCGATCCAAGCCCGATAACGACTTCTATTCCCCTGTTTCGCCGAATAACGCTCTCTAGAAAAGTGTGAGCAAAACCAGAGACGACGACTGGAAGAAAAGTAAGTCCGTAGGAAAGTGCCGAGTCGTTGCAGTAACGGAGGCTTGCCAGTCGGTAGTCGTATTGCCAGTTAAAAAATGTCATTTCGCAAGAAAAAATAACCCCCCGACTCTGTAAGTACGGTTTCAACGGGGCCGTTTAACGGGGCTAGACAATACCCATCTCCGTTTAATTCCCCCGTCAATATTAGCGGATAAACGTGGAGGCGCGGAAAATAATACCCCGATTGCATAATTACGTGACACCGCTCTCGTTAGTTTAACGCCGTTTGGCGCCGTGTAACGGCCAGCCGAAGGTCAAGCGAATCGATCGGAGCCGATTGGACCCGTTACAATTGCCAATGCAATCGGTTAAGGTCGTTTAAACCGCGCTTTCCTCTCGCCGGAATGCACCGCGTGGCGAGCCGGGGTGCCGTTCAAATCACTGATCGCCGTTGTACGAATATCTTATCCGTGTTCGCGTGTGGCCCGACCCCGCAACGGATTACCCAACGAGGCCAGCGGACACGTGTTGCACTTGGACGTAACTTAACCGGATAACATCTTTCCCAAGTTGCGTTCCAACTTGAGATCGTACGTCAAAAGCGTGCACCCTGCTTGTTCTTGGCGTCCCCCGTTTCGTTGCTCACACATGGATCACCTCTACGTAGTTAGGGACCATAAGGGAAACCCAGTTTTAGGGCGCCCTGGTCCAACTCTTCAGGGTATAAATTTACAGCTTGGTAACGAAGCTTGGAGTCCAGGATAACATCCCTCCTGTAGGAACGTATAGCTTGGTAACGAAGCTTGGAGTCCAGGATAATGTCCTTTCTATAGGTTCCCAGGTATCGCAGGGTGGTTCCGATAGGTCCGATTGGCATCGATTCCGTGGTTTCAGGTGGCCAGCACGCGGTTCCTGGGCAAGCGTCCGGATCAGAAGCTGAAGTCGGTCACGATAATCCACAGCTCCACGACGGAAACGGTGCGCCTCCCCCCAGAAGGGGCGGAGGGGGTGACGGTGCACCCCCCGGTGGTGAGGGCGAAGCTGCCCCTCAGTCGCAAGGTGCGGGAAAAGAGGCGTCGCCGAACCCATAAAGACGATGCCAATGGTGCAGCGAACGACAAGTCTACCAAGGTGAGTGCAGGAGAGGTTCGAGTTCCTCCACCTTGAACAGGCAATTCGTACCCCGGTAGCGATAAGTAAAGTCGATCTTGGTCTTGGGGAAAATCTTCACCCTCGTTCTTCACGAAAAGGTCCCGAAGAAGAAGAGGGTGGCCCCGACCCCATCGGAGGAGCCGACCAGGAAGAAACTGTCCGAGGCGCTGTCCATGCCCAATAAGAGGAAGACCAAGGAGAGGCAGGCCCCCGAGACCGCGGTGAACCCGAAGAAGAAGCGGAAGAGGAAGGAGGTGATCGATTACTCCGCCACGCAGACGGAGACCGAGCCAGGTGGAGGGGACAACGCGGACCCGAAGAGCAAGGTGCGCTCCTGGCTGTTGGCGTCGCAGACGAGGCTGGACCCACCCACTTCAGGGTCGGCGTTGCCGAAGAGCAAGTCGACGCCGGTGGGCCTGACGGCGGCGGGGACGCCTTCGGGGAGAACCGGGAACAACGTGGCGCAAGGACGCGTGGGGAACGGCGTCCAGGGTGCCGGGAGGATCAGACAGGCCGCCCTGAAGAGGCTGACGGACCAGAAGAGCAGGTCCGCCCCTCTGGCCAAGAGCGACAAGAACGACCGGGTCCGCCTGCAGGTGGTCTACAAGCCGCCCTTCAAGTTCAGCGTGAGGCTGAGGAAGACCGACAAGGTGGGCCAGGCTCCGGGAGGCCACGGACCCGCGCGCAACCCTGGCCCTAGGACCGGCGTCCTCGTCAGGACCTCGAAGAAGGACCGCGTCGGCCTCGGACACACCTGCCGGCAAAAGACGCCCTCCAGGACCAACGACGTCCGCGTCCCCGAGCCGGCCAACTCCGACCTGCACACCGTGCCCTCCGACCTGGAGGTCCTCCTCTCCGAGAGCGAGTTCCTCTTCTCGGACGCGTGACCTCGGCGAGCCCGCTCGCTCCTGGCGAGTCTTACCCGATGACGTTGACCCAGGTCGAGCTCCTGCCGCATGTAAATAATTTAGATAGGCATCGACTGAGTGCGGGGGTGGGAGGCTCCCCAGCCGGAGCCTCGCTCCCCTCCTCTTCTTCTTCTTCGTCTTCTCGCGACCCCGAAGAGAGTTCCCGAGGCGGTCCGGTCGATGCACCGTGCTTCTCTCCGGGGTCTCCCCGATCTGCGATCCTGCAGGTCGGTGATCGAAGGATTGCTCGCTCGGAAATCGCACGATACGTCCTTTAAAATCTGTTTTAAAATCGCAATTTCCTGAGTAATTGGGCTAAATAGTCCCATGAGACTTTTGGTCCTAGAACGCAGAATTTCGCGAGCGAGCAACCCCTCGTCGAGGATAGTCGTAAGAACCGCTGTGATTCGCCTTTCTATGTTCCTCCGATTATCGTAATTGGGGAGTCCTGTCCATTTCTTCCTCCATGGACGCGATTTCGCGTCGAGTACGGAGACTTCGCTGTCTTCGGAAATGTCGCTGCCTCTTCTTCGTGCCGACTTGCCTCCGTCGGGCGCTCATCATCCTCGGGGTTTTTTTATTTTAACATTCCGAAGCATTGTTTTAATTTGTCGAATACTCTCGGGGCCAACGTCGGGATTTCAACATTGTGATACGTGCCAATATATACGAATTACCGACGAATATGTCGCACTGCCCGATGCGGACTGCGAGATGTCACTTCCCGTTGGGAAGAAAAAAAAAAAAAAACAGACAAATGTTAAATTTTATAAAACGCCACTTTGCATTCCTGGAGTCTGCAAAGTGGTTCCAGGAAGAGACGGCCTTCGCACTCCGAGAAAATATTCCGCGTAGGAGCACGCCAATTCGCGATGATTACGCCCGAATTGGCGTTTATCTCCTTCTTTTCCACTTTTTGTTCTCGACTAAGGCCTACGTCCGTTAACACGTCCGACTGAGGGTTCCCGGAAATCGTCGCGTCTTCTCGCGAAGACCTGATCGAGTCCTCGGTCTCAAGTCGAGGGCATTCAAATCGTCCGCAATTGCAGTATAATTTTTCCCAATCAGCCTCCTGAATTATGCATCCATATGCAAATCCACCGCGGTGGACATCTCGAAAATTGCACTGAGGTCTAAAGTTCCTAACGTCGGCTTTCGTTGCTTCAAAGAAATGGAGATGAGCCATCCTCGGCTCGAAATCGAGGACCCGAGTGATTTCCGTGGACCGGGAGCTTGAGAATTGATCCGTACTTAAATCGAACCTTGAATCGGTACTTAAATCTACTTAGATCCAAAAGGATGGCCCAACGATACGTTGGATTTCTTAAGAACCCTTTTCGCGATCGGAAGACAAAATGGCCGCCCGCGGTCAGGCTTAAAAACCGATGGTTTACAATTCCTGCGTGTAAATATTCACTCGCAAGGGGTGTGTTAAATAGTGGCGCCGTTACTTACAGATCTACTATACAGCGATGTACTTATTTTTTTTATGGACTTGTACAGAAGCGGAACGAGCGCTCCTTCGCTCCAGTTAAAGCATCCTCCATTTCGCCGGGACGGAAGGAGAGTAAAAGTATGGAGGCCCGTCGTAACTAATTAACAAAAAATAAGTACTTTTAGCGGCTCTTAGTACTCTTCGGGAAGAAGCTTCCCTCGTTAGCCGGGACTCCTTTCTCGCGTTCTCGGGAATTCCACCGCCCTTGTTTCCCTAAATAGCTAATTCTTGCGTTACTCCTAAAAGACTCGAACTCTTTGCCGATCCCTTTGGTTAATCCAATTTTCGTCGCGTTTGTATCGTCCGGAGGTACTCAAGGATTTTCGTACATGCACCATGCTCCACGGAAACCTAATTAACGTGTTAGTAATTATTCGAGACTCGACGCGCGTTTTCCGCTTCGCATGTATATACGTCTTAGCGAATTGACATTATTTCCGACTCGAACGCGGAAGTCGCGTCTCGAGTTTCGCCATTTTCTTTTTTATGCGCTCGCCCCGCGCGACAATTCCTCGATAATTAAGTGCAAGACTAAAAACGGCGCCGAAACGCTTACCGGTGTAAATACGTATTACGGACACTAGTTGACGCTACTATTAGATACCAAGAACATAAATGGCCTGATTCGAGGGTCGACAGGTGTCAAATATCGCTCGCGATCGTTTTTCCCCCAGACAACGAGTGTCCGGTGTCGCCTGATTTCGTCCCACGTATTTCCACCCACTTTTTTTAGAATTTCTCAAACGTGCATGCAGGTCATGTCACCGTTCCCAAGCAGTTAAACCGAGCGAACAATTAAATACCTTCGCAGGGAATTATAATTAGTTACTATAAGAAGCGTCCAACATTCCGTATTCTCCATTCGTTGTAAGCGAGAAGTCGCCTCGAAGTCGGTGTTCGTTCTTTTCGTACGTATCGTTAAACTACTGTATAACTCGACAGGGAAGGAGAATCTCCTCGCAGAGCTGTCGTGAGACGGAGCCTAATAAGAAACTCTAATTAGAACTAATTAGCACTCCACAGTCAATTTAACTCTTAACGTCTATTTTTACCGTTTAATTTATAAGCCACGCGACCGACTCGAATTCTCGGTCTCAGCGTTCGTCGGACATCATTCGATGTAAACGGGGACTAGGAATAATTAACAAAGCCAAATATAAAATTCACCCCAGCGACCAGGAACAATGGAAAGCCCGATTCGATAGCCATACACCAAAGTACCCGCGGAAAAGTCGCAAAGATATTAAATTCGGCCACCAGGTTTAATTCCTCCTGATTTTTTGCGTATAAAAAGGGCATTCATAGGTCAAGTCTGCGCGAGGGTCGGTCTTATCGGAGCCCTGATAAGCGCGATCGGCGAATACGTACGAAGGGAATTTGTCTGGGGCGAAATCGATCCACACGAGATGGGGCTGCTGTATTTTTACACGGACTTTGTATAATATTAACGTAAAGCGAAGACTATATCATTCCTGTACCGTGTATATATACCTGTGTACTAAAATAAACGTTGCAAAGTACAGATATTTTCTTCGCCAGAGATTAATTCGGAGATTGCTCACGGCCAGGGTCGCGCGATGGAGTCCTGTGCTCCGACCCTGGCCGACGCCAAAAAAAAAATAGATATAGGAATATTCCGAAGGCCATGAATACGAAATAACGCAAGAGCGTCGAATAGACGAGCATAAGGGGTGGCATCGCGATGGACGTGTCGGAAGCACCGACATAGTCCCTCCTATACAGGGCGACGCAAGGGGTGGGATCCTATCGGTGCATGCTGCAGTTCCGGCTCGGTGCAGCGGCAAACGGTGGAGGGTACTAGCCAGTTTCGCCGGTTTATAGGCATACAACGTATCCCGAAGCTGGACCTGCGCTAAATCGCCAACCTGTCCGAGGTGGCGGGAATTAAAAGGAATTTACGAGGCTTCGGCCCTCGAATCTGGTTCGCGCGGTGCCGCGATTTGACGATCCATAAACCGAGAAGTTCTACCGTTTGGGCATCATCCGTGAAAAGGGAGCCCCGCGGCTCCGCTCCGTTTCTGCTGAAATGGGTTAACTGGCTAACTCTCGGGCACGGAGCTCCGAATGAAAAGTTCCCCTTGATTGGCCGTTTGCAGGGAGATTTGGAGAACCGATGGCGCTTGCGATTCTGAGGTCCCGGGTTTTAGGAATCAACGCGAACTCGAAAAACGCCCTGGTTCAGGAATCGGGACGTCCGGATCATTTTCGTTTGGCCTTCTTCCGGGACATTTGGAAAACCGATGGGTTGTTTCATGGTGGGATGGAATCAATTCTCTGGTTTCACTATTCCAGGTTTTAGGAATCCTCGAAGCCGAGGTGCGTGCTTCGACAGTATCCTGGCCCGCTCTTCGGCAATTTCTCTCCTTCTCAGGGTTTCTCGTTCGTCCTGCAGGCTCTTCAAGGATCGTTCCCTCCGGGCTTCTTCGGCAAGCTTGGCTCTGGCTCGCGTTATGGCTGCCCTCAATTCCTGGCCGTACTGGATACCTGCAACCGACGTAAATTAACGACCAGAAGACACGCAAATCCCGGACAAGAATTGCTCGTTACGTCCGAACCTTTGGATCGACTCCTTATCAACGGTGCTTACCCGAAGAGCATCGCTTCGCTATCACGAGAGCCCATCGCTCTTATCAATTTTCCAATTCTTAATCACTAAACGGCACTTCGTACCCCTCTCTCGACGAGCTTCCGCCTCTCTTCGATCCTTCTCTCGATCGATGCGCGTTTGCTCGTCGTTGTTCCTCGCGAAAGCCGCGTCCATTTCAGCTTCCTTCTTCCTGAATTCAGCAACGACCCTCTTCTGGCTGGCCATCTCCTCCAAGAGCTCCGTCCTTAATAGCCGTTTCTTCGACTGCTCGCTTTTTATCCGGCCCTCCAGCTCGCTCTTCATCTTCTGCTCGCAGAGCTCCTTCACCGTGTCCTCGCGTTCCCTCCTTCCGTCCTCCTCCTGCACCATTTTTCTCGCCATGGCCTCCGTCATCCTCTCCCTCCACTCGGCTTTAGCCTACGGGAACGGGAATTAATTGTCTCGATTAAACGACTCTCCATTAAATGTCTCGCCGAAATAAAAGGCACCCTCGAGGACTCGCCTTCTCGAGGCGCTCCTTTTCCTCCGTTTCCTTTTTCCCGATTATTTCCTGCAGCCGATAATGCTCGTCCTCGAGCGCCTCCTTTTCTTTCTCCTTCCAAATTCCTCGGGCCCTGAAGAAAGCCTCCTCTTCGGCCCTCAACTGCGCGGCTTTCCGCAGTTTCCGGTTCTTCAGGGCCTCCCCTTCCTCTCGGAGAACTTGGCTCAGTTCTTCCGCCAATTTTCCCTCTCTTTGCTTCTCTTCCGAGTCCTCCTGCCTCCTTCGGTAATTCCCGATCAGCTGATCCTGGATCTCGCGCCGATACTTATGTTTCTTTTCGCGATCCTGCAGCTGCAGTTGCCGCGCGTCCTCGAGCGACCAGTTGTCGACGAAGAATGCTTCTCTTTCCCTCCGTCTCTCCTCCTTCCTTTTGGCCTCCTTTTCTAGGATCTGCAGGTGCACCTCTTTAGCTGCATAAGCCGAGCGCAGCTGCACCTCCAGTTGACGAAGCTCTTCGGAGCTTTCTCGCAGCAGTTGTCGTCGTTTCTCCTTCACGAGTTCTGCATCTATTCAAATTCAACGAAATCCTTGATAAGTTAGTTCCAAATTTACCTGAAGTCGATTTGAATTCCTATTTCACTTTCCCTCGTTTTATTTATTTTTTTTTTCTCAGATACTCGCATCTGACGAGTCTTTCAAATCTACGGAAATGCAACGAAGTCCTTGTTGGCTTTACATTTTCCTTTCAATCGATTTGGATTATTTGTATATCTCGTTCTGTAGTTCCATTTGACGAATGGCCTTCGACGGTAGTTACTTTTTAGTTGCGAGAGCTCGTGAGCCAATTTCTCAGCTCGCAGGGTTTTTTGCCGGGTCAAATCTGCCGTCCTTTGATCTCGCCGAAGTTTCTCCTCTCTGCAGGCTTCTCTGCGCTTTGTGTGCAGATTCCTCTTGAAATCGTTTAATTTTCCTCTTTCCTGGATCGCGTCCCGCCGCCTCTCGTACTCGGCCAGAGCTTCGTTTTCTTTCAATTCTCTCGCGAGATTCTCCCTGGCCTCGTCCTTCTTCCTCTGCTTCAGAGTTTCCTCCATTCCTGATTTCCAACTTGACTTAACTAAAATCAGACCCGACAAAACGTTCGTCCATACCGAGCCACTTACCTGCAAAAATCTCCACTCGCTAAATAATTTTATTCCCTTCGTGTGAATAAAAAAAAAATCGATTTGACCCTCAAAATTGCGTGAAAAAAAAAAAGTCATACACTAAATTAATTAACCACTTTTGCACGCGGCCTTAGAAAATCAATCATTTGTTACGCGCGTCAATTCTCGAGAACCTTGCGGCGAACTTCCGACCTGTCGAGAAAAAAAAATACACTCGCGACCCTTTTCACCGAATGAAGAATTAATCCAAAATTTCTCCACCGTCAAAATCGCAGAGAAAAATATTGATGAAGACCTTACGCTACTTCCAAGTAAAACAATTCGTTAATACTCCAACTCGCGCTGCTCTGAACTGATATTCTCTTATCACGACATCCTTTACGTCACACCATTCAGAATTGGTTTCCCGGGATATTTGCAAAATTGTTATTTCAGGCGATTAACAAATTCCAAATCCAATTCCTCGGAAGAGGGACTCCCTATAATCGGTGGTTATCGTCAAAATGTGGACGAGGTGGTAGCTCCGGATGTGATAAGAATCCATCGAGAAGTCACAAAAAACCTCACGAGGGATGTGGCAAGAGCAGATCAGCTCCGAAAATCAAGCACGGAGGTTTCGGGAGTTGCAAAACCGGGAAATGCGGCAACACGAAGAAAGAGTGAATTCTGTGAGCCCAAAAAACAAGAGCAATATCAACGAAAACGGATAAAAAAAATAAAACGGAATTTCCAAAGTTACAGGAACGAAACATGTAAAAACGAGCAAATTTCAAGTAACGCGTGAGACCCGACATTTGATGTAGTAACTTTATTTCTTATCTTATGACTAGTACACGAAATAAATACATGACGACTTAAGCCTACCGGTTGGCTTTGATAATAGTTGCGACTTGTCGAGAGTCGATGCAACTCCTATTTACCGATTCCACGTTCAAATTGGCTCTCCGAGGTAAATGCGAGCACACCCGTAACGATAGGTCGGGAAAAATAAATCGTTGCAAAAGATCTCGATTTAACGGCGCAGATTAGAAATCGCTACGATCTCCCGTTACGTGTGTAATCTCACCTAGATGCGACCTGATTACGCGTTACGGTCATACTCCGTGAATCGAAAGCATCGTCTTTGCGTAAGGTACCGTCAGTACAAAATATAAGTACATTTATATGCAATATGTATATATATAAAAGTACAACATTAACTCGCCAATACGACGTAACAGTTCGTCCCTAATACTTAGTAGAAACGCGTATGAGATCGGTCCGACAATTTGATCGCGTTTATCGTATCAATCGTCCTTCAAATTCGTTCGACTTGCTCGTACGAGCCTTTGGTTAATATTTCCCGATTTTCTTGTAAACGCGAGGCTCGAAAAAATCCCCCGCCCGATTATCGTGCTCCCTCCTCGGGGTGAGATTGTTTAACAAGTTGCGCCGCGATAACAGACAAATACGACAAAAAGTAACGATCGATAATTACGTAGACCCTCTTCAGTACGTACGCTCTCTTTTCCATCCCGCTATTTCACCGTGTAATCGTGAGACACAAACATTAACTTTATATATATATATATTTATATAGTTATGTGTATGTATGTATATATACAGTACCGCTCGTGTATTTTAGGAGCACTTCTTCGAGTTGCTAAATTTTTGCAAAAAGCCAACACGCGTTGGAAATCATTGATAAGGGGTCGCGAAGGCTCGATAAGCCGGTCGATAAATTCTGAAAAAAATCGGTGAAGGGATAAAAAATGAAGGAAGTGCGTTATAAAAATCTCGTCGAAGTCGAGAGGCTCCGTTCCTAAATGTACGAGCGGTAATGTATGTTTCAAGAGATGCGGTTGCGTCGCGGGACAAGTTCACGTGCCTCGACTAATTTCCGCGTCTCTTTACTCGGACCGGTCTTACTTCTTACCGAGACTAACTACGGAGGAATGATTAATTGCGGCTGAAAGCGCGCCTCGAGGAGATAACGAATAAAAACTGGAAGAGAGGAAAAAGATCCTTAACCAAAATGGTCCCAGGACACCAGACGTCCGAGAGGCTCCGGAAAGCTTGGCCTTACGATTAGACTTTCAAAATTTCTGGAACGGATTCAAATACATACTCAGTCGCACATAAGATTACATATGCTTCGATCGGGGCGTAGTTTCCCCTTGTAGACGACGGATTAATTCCCTGCCTCCCCTCTCACGAGGTCCTTATCGAAACGAGAAACCTCCTCGTCCGAAAATCCCTCTCGAGGCGGCAGTGGAAAAAGTACAAAGTGCATCGTCGACGTGGAAATTATACTCAGACCTTAACCTAAGAAGAGTAGACTCTAAGCATCGGTGCATTGAAAGGAGATGCAAGACATGAGCGTTCAACGTGGACGAGAGAGATCTTGAACTATCGGCGAAGGACTCGTCCTCACATTTTGCATACATCTTTCCTATTTACCATTAATTTGACATTAAACCCCCTCGACATCTCCCAGATAAATTATTGCCCGTTTAATTGAGATCGAGATCGTGGAAGCGAAATGTGAGAGCGAGCCCTTATATATTTATTTATTTATTTATACTCGACCTGCAACTCCGCCTTTAAAAGTGTCTTAACATCACACGTATAAAAAAGAAAGAACCCTTCGAAATGCTTGCGTAGGAACACCGAGACATTTAGAATATATTTAAACATCTTATTTTCTTTTTTTCTTCCTTTTCGTATCCTTGCTCACCGTGAACAGTAATATTAGAATATCGCGTTACGCTCTAACACCTTAACAGACATCGTCGGTATCGGATTGGAACATCAAACCGTCGTCTCGCGGAAGATCTTTACCGTAGAATCGGCGTGCTTGATATGGATGTACCGTGTTATCGTGGCGGCCCCATTGTTACACACTTCTTGGGCATTTTCCAAATTGGTCGGACTGGATTTCGATTTTCTCCCGACGTGATTCGTCTCCGCGGTTTCTGCGCCAGGGATGGATTGTTTTTTTTTTTCAAACAGAAGTGTCACACCTCGGGTCGACGTGCAGCTCAAAGTAATCTCCTTGATATTCATTTTTAAATCATCAAAAGGATTCCTCGATGTTAATATTAATATTGAACCCTTTCATTTTCGACATTTCCTTGAATTTAAATTAAACTCTACGGATTACTTTGACCTGCAGCATTAATATTTAATATAAACCAGCGTGATCGGGGTACTACGAACGTGCGAAATTTCTCAAACTTAAACCGCGGGTGTCAAGCCAGAACGACTAGTTATCTCTGCAAATTAAACATGTGAAAGAAACACCAATTAGCGGTACAACGACAACGTCCACTTAAAACCAGAAAATACGTACACGTAACAATAAAAAAAAAGAAAAAAAAAAACAGTTAGTACATCGAAGGTGGGCTTTGTACACTGGGAGCTCGAGAACACTTAGTGCAACTCTTTGCAGATCAGGGATGGAAAAAAAAAAGAAGAAAGAATATGCTCTCTACGAAGAAACCACAGGATGCAAATAAAAGAGCGACGTCGGTGGTGTATAAAAAAATATGCCTTTATATTTACAGAGAAGAGGATGTGCTCGGTTCTGAAATTATTTACAAGTGATCCGAAACAGATCCAGGAAAGAAATGCACTGAAATTTCGCTGGTTGCGACTTAGAAAAAAGAAACAAAGAAATAGAAAGGCAAATAACCGAATCGCAGAGACAAACGTTCTCGAGACGCGTGTCTTTTTGCGAGGAAGAGGTAGGATGTTGCAAAAATAGTTGCCCCTGTTTACCTAGGAATATTTTAACGTTAAACGTTTAACCCGTTCCTCGTGGTTTCCGATTAATCGGAACTTTCCAAAGAGATTTCGGCCTAAAATCCCCGAAGACTTTCGACAATAGGCACTTGATTTCGATTTCGGAATCGCTCCAAAAATTCTGCTAACGATCTCGCGAAGCCATTAGCATCTCTCGAGTGTATCAAAAATATTCGTAACGATTTTCCTAAGCTACATGAAAAAAAAAAGGAAAACGACATAGGAATAACGTCAACCTGAGATTCTAGGACATGCTCTTAACACAAATTATTGTCACGCCAGAAAAGGCGCCCATCCGTGTCCTAATTAAAAATAGTTTGGTACCGGCTCGGGGTACATCTCATTAGTCTTAAGTGTCTTAGAATTGCCGGCTCTACGTTAATGAAGTACAACGGAATGGTACAACTCTACCCTATGGTTTGTATGAAACCGCGACGTGCGAGCGAGTCTCTCAGGAAGTGCTTGTGAAAGAGCCTCGTAAAATGGTATAGAAAAAAAATTGAATTCGAATTCGACCCGCGTCTCCCAGATAAAAGTCCCCCTGGAAACGCTAAAGGGACGTATTGTCCGGTGAATTTGCAATTGTTTCACAGAAAGGAAGTACGTTGCACGCTTTAATTCACAATGCACCTCATCAGGAACTCATTCGTCACTCCTCGTCAGTCACATCGGGATTTCAGGGCTCGCTCGATCCGTGCTATTAAAATGCAGATAACAATCGTTTCTCTTGCAAATTCGAGCCGTAAGCTCGACATAAGCTTTACCGTACACTCCCTAGGTACACCGCAAACGAAACTATCCACTTAAAACGGAATAAAAATAGCTAACTTTGGCAGTAGATTCCAAGTATCAGTCACATCTACACTGGCATAACGTAACAACGACAGGAGCAGCGTCCCGGTTTGCCCACAAAGTGCAACAATTGATAAGACATCTTAGGAATAAAAAATACATGTAAGGTTTGATTAACGGTTTAAAAGGTCAATTGTGGGCACGAAGGAGCTGGCCCTGCCACGGTCAACAAGCTCTACCTAAAGTACTGTAACACGGCGAATGCACTCGATTCGCGTTAACATCTGCTAGTCTACACAATTGACGGTATTACCTGAAAGCGCAACACTGAGTTACACCTTCGAGGAATACGTACAGTAAACATCGGTTTGAGTATCATGCATGTGCCGGAGGCAGTTCGATTGCAACAACGTGACGAGAGGATAAAGTAACAGGGTCTAATACTTTCTTTGATCCGAAGGATGCCACTGATTAAGGGTGCGATTGCAGCTGCCTTAAGCCCTGACCCCGAAGAATACCGTGTAAATAGTTAACGTCTGACTAGTCTACATTTGGGCACATGAAAAACCTCGACAGAGACAAATCAAGCCTTAAGACAGTTGCAACGTTCCGCCAACAGCGGTGCAATAGAGGCAATCTACGCTCGTCGTCTCGACGCTACGTTTCCAATAAATTAACATTATACATCCACTAAGGTTGGCAATAATTTAAATGACTGCGTCAAGGCACTTTCAAAAAAGAAAAGGAAAAAAAAGATAAGAGGACCTCTAAATGGGAAACCACAAGTGAAGGGAAACTACCTCTGCCAAATACGACGAAATAAATAAAAGTGAAAATAAATATCTAGGAAATAGACTACTAGTTAGTCTGCCGTTAACAGATTACGCAGCAGCACTTCCGACATCTGCGTTTTTTCTCCGCGAAATCGTGCCCGTACTTCTCGGAGACCTTGCAGGCCTTCGACATCGACTTGACGTTCCCAAAAGCGTCCTTCGTGTCCTGACTCTGCAGGGAGTTACTTCTGGTGGTGTGTTTAGAAGTGACCTCCTGCCTGCTGTCGGATCTTTCCACTCGCGCATCTCTCCTCGCTACGTTACTCTTATACGTATCCGGGCTTATCACATTATTATCACGCTCCAGTCCAGGAGGCTTCGTTCTCTCTCCATCTTCGACCTCCCCCCCGAGGAGTCCCTCCGGACTCTCGTAAGCGACTCGACATCGCGCCTCCACATCTTTGGATACCGTTTGATTCATAATCTTCCTGCAGTAGTTGCTCCTGTCTTCGGGCCACCTGTCATTTAGCTCCCCTTGGACGCTCTCGATGATGCTCTCGACGAGCACACCACCTTCCAGGGCCTTCACCCTAACGACTTCGAGGTCCATATACTGATTCCTCCTAGTGACATCCTTGCCGTCATCGCAGGGGAGCTCGACCACCCCGAAACTCAGCCTCTCGTCATCGTCGGTCTTGCGACCGGTGTCATCGGACCTCTCCGGGTTGGAGCTCCCGGCACTGGTCTTGGTCCTGTCATCGGAATAGGAAGCACTGAGCCTGTGATCCGCACAAGCCGCGAGCCTGTCCTCCCCGTGGAGGTGAACGGAGCTCTCGTTGGACTCGAAGTTGCTCGCATTGATGATGGCTATCCTGGGAATGACGAGATCCGGGGGCAGGCCCTCCGCCCCCTCGGCGGGACTGGATCCCGAGGAAGAATGGTGGGTGAAGTTCCCGAAGGAGTAGTACCCTTGTCGTCCTCTGCCCTGGATCCAGGCCTGGGTCAGAAGGTGCGATCGCTGCCAGGAGACGTCGCTGTTGCTGCGGTTCTTCCTGACGGTCCACTGCTGGTCCTCGGCGGACGACCGGAGGTGGCACTCGCTGGGACTGCGCTTCATGTCCGAGGTCTCCGGCTCGGAGTCCGGGTTGTTCTCCTTGGTGCGAGCGATCAGCTCGAGCCGGGACTTCAAGAGAGCAGGCGAGACCGCCCGGTCCACGCGCTTGACAGCTCGCGGCGTCCTCCCGGTCTCCATGGCGACCAGGTCTGCCGCGACGCTGTTGGCCACGCCGTAATCCAGGTCGCCTATTTCCCCGGAAGCCGCGATCGCGTTCGGACTCGGACTGTCCATGCTGTCGGGGGTGTAGGGATCATGCTTGACAGGCACTGCGTGCAACAGGTGGGACGAATCCACCGGGAACGTCCTAGTCCCGGCGTAACTACGGCAATCAGGCAACATCGACAACAACTCCACGTAATGGTCAGGCACTCGAAAGCAAAACTCGGGGGCGTTCGACAAGCTGCAGCACTCTATCGTACCTGCGTCCGAGGCGAGCATGGCCCTCAGGTAGACCGGCTGGAAATGGGAAAGAAAAGACTGTTTTCGACATCGTGCTTTCATGGGGCTCTCTACTCTCTGTACTCTCTCTCTCTACTGGTTCCCGAGTCTCTCCTTGGTCGCTAGGACTCTCGTGTCGAGCCTTTGCCACGTGGGATTGGCTACTGTACGCTGTGGCTGACTCGTTTGGCTCTATACATTGGGTATTTACAACTGCTGGTGACGTGACGTGATGAATTGGGTTTCGTGCAATGGCTTTTTTTCGTCTCGTATCGATCGTTTGATTTTTATACAATTCTTGGGCGGAGTTAATCAGTCAAAATTGTGTCCGTTTATCTTGAATGGGCGGTCTTTGCGTCAATGAATCGTGTAAACGTTACCGGCGTGTGCTTTGAATCGTGGAGCAGGAGACATTTGTTGGAATAATACTTGGCAAGTTGTATACAATAATTTTTACAATTTTTATCGTCTACTTTATGTTACTGGGCGATCTAATCCACGCTAGTATTTAATTACGCTGGATGTGGTCCGCACTTCTCAAACGTCTAGGATTTCTCAATAAGTCTGATTCGTTAATGATAATCATATCGGACATGGCATACGAGGAGATGAATAAAATCGTCACAGAAATTAGCAGAGACATTGAGAAAGCAGCCCAGCATAACATCCGCATGAGTACCGAAAATACTGGAAATGTCATGGTAATGGTAATCAAGCTGGCGGAGAACCCAATAGTACGTGAATACAAAATCGAGGGTCGACACTAACACCTAGCAGACTCCAAGGAACTTTTAATATATCGCGATGGCGGACGAGATAATGAACATATACGTAAGATGTAAAAAAGAAGAAAAAAAGGAGGAAGAAAATCAAGGCAAGAACAGACAAAGAAGTTCTTAGATAGGTACCTTAGTGCTTAGAGATTCATTCGAAACTCCAGAAAAACAGGCTGCACCATAATCATCAAAAGAATCAATCATCGTCAGAATGAAAGTCAGGAAGTGCATAAGTATATGTACCCAATATTAAATTAAAGAAAATAGACTATAGTCTTGCGCTTTAAGTGAAGTCGTGTAATGTTACCTTGTGATCACCCATGCACGTCAATGGACCAATGATTCCGTACTCCACTGCATTCGGAGATGACATCTGCAAATAGACAGGATGATCTGTTACTAGTAATTCGTACAGCGATTCCTTTAGGCACGATGCCTCGTGCATCGAAGAAAGTTACTTTATAAATGTCACTTACGTTTTGGACTAGGGACTTTGCAGTGGGGCTTAGCAAGATGCGATCACACCAAGCCGGTACCCTCGTTTGCATGTAGCTGGTGCCCTCCTTGATGTCTTCCTCGAAAGGATAGCTCGGTACAAAGTTGATGGGGAACTCGAACAACCTTCCGTCAAAGTCCTCTAATTCCTTGTCGTACTCTCGTAACTGGAAAAAAAAAAAAAAGAGCGTTTCATAATCACAAGCGATTTACTTGAATAGAAAATGAAAAAGTCAATGACTTAATGACTTACCCATTGACCGCCGTTTTTAATAAAGACATTCTGATGTTGACAGTGCGAGAACTCCTTCTTTCCTAATGTCAAAATCAGATCCTCTTCCTTGTTACGGAACTGCAATCTGGAAATATTACCTTTACTCGACAGCCTGCTCTCGTGAGTATCTTCCGTTAGTTTCTGCAAATTGCAGTAATAAAGTACAATTATATGCAGGAGAGTCGATCGGCGTGCCTTTCGCAGGGAGACTCACCTTGATCACGCCGGCTGTGTCCGTTCTAAAGTTGAAGTCCCCGAATAAAAAATACGGTACGTTTGGATACTGGTCATTATGAAACCTGTCGAGCGTGTGTTCGAGTGCCCTTCTTCGAGTTTTACTGTACACCGATGGAAACTGCAACATCAAAAATGACCGATCAGATTTCACTTTAAAAATCTCAAACGCACCAGCTCCGACGTTAATTACCGTTTCCATGGCGATAAAGTTACTGGCATCGTGAAATAAGTGTATATTTATGAGATCGAAAACAGTTCCGCCGATGTTCCATCGCGTCCGTAGAAATCCTTTCCGGGACCACTTGCACTCCGGAAAGAAATCTTGAGGAAACTTTGCCTTCTCTTTGGTAGTCACGGCTTCTATATTGCCAGAGTGCACCTCTTTGCCACTGACCGGTACAAATGTGCACTCTGAAAGCAGAGTTAAAGAGAAAAAGTCCATAACCCTTCCACATTACCAACGCCCCTAGAAGTAGCCGAAACTCACCTTTAAAGTCCCAGAGTAATACATCTTTTAAAGATACGTGTACAAAATAAAAGTTTCCGAGTGCCTGCAAGATAAATTGAATTCGATTGAAATTTATTCTTGATCCCATAGTTAATAATTAATCGACGCTCACCGTAAAATGTTCGGCCGATGAATAATCCTCATCCAGGAAGACTCGTACTCTGTCGAACAGCCTTAGCTCCTCCGAGGACATCAATAATCTGATGGAGAAAAATCATGAAAAATATAGTGAATGCCTAAACGGTTTAAAGGGAACTCACAGCTGATCAAAGTGTCTCTACCGCAAACTCAAAGGTTTCCTGCATGTGCATTAAATCTATAATCCTTCTTCCTTTGGCACCTTCTGCCATGGACATTTAACATTAGCAGAGTCCTTTGATGTAGCTCGCTCGAGCGTTAAACCGCGCGTGACTATCTATTTTTATCCCCTTATAACACATGTACCTTCGGACACATTCGATCCCGTATATAAGTGTACACGGAGATAAATTTATTTGCCTCCTTGGGAACCTCCTACATCGTCGTTTGACATTAATTTTGTGAACTTCATCCCGTCTCCGAGCACCATCGCACGAGCGACGAAGCTGCGGAGAAATATGCTTTGCACTTTGGACGTGCGTCAATTCGTAAATGTTCAATGTGTAATTCTTGCAATTAGTCCGCCCCGGTAATTTTCGGTAACGCTTCCGATGTCACACGCAAAGTGATCTTGACAATTTGATAAATGTGCCAAGATGTGCCGTGATAACAGGGCGAGTTGCGTTCTTTCTGTAATGAAATCATCGCGGAGGGCCGCACGTGACGTCATATGATTCGCTTAATCAAGATGTCGTAAATTTGTCGTGTATTAACGGTAAGAGATTTCAAGGACCGAGTTGGTTGCCAGAAATAACGTCGAAGCGAAGCTTCACCCGACTAAATAATATTCATTGAAGCGGGACATTGATTTAAATAGAAATAATAAATGCACGTACATTTCAGTGCTAATTTAATGCAATCTATTTTACAGGGAACATCTTGACGCGTCTCTAGGAAAACGTTTGCCTGCATAAATTGAATTAGTTCAAGGAAAAGTAACGGAATTAGAAACCTTATAGGAAGCTTGACAACAATCGCCTTGTACATTATGTAGAGTTTAAGACCCTTGTATATGTGCATGTACCAAATACATGTAAGTTAATTCTAGCGAATATTATGAATTAATGTATTTTGTCATTCGAGGCATTCTAAAAATTTCGGATGTTCCGAAAATGTTGGAACTTTGTCAATTCAAATTTGGAAATAACGCTACATGAAATTATCAATTACTCACCTAACAAAATATTCCACGTGCTTCATGCTCTGTTCATAATTTTTGCCACCAACTTCCTGGCAGTGAAGTGCTATGAATTTCGGATCCAATCGTGATATCGTCTAGAAAGATTATCAAGTGGTATTACATGACTATGCTCGACACACAGAAATAATTTGCAAGTCAGAGTTTAGCCTTAAATCAATACTCACTGATAAAAATTCCTCGGTCCATATCTTCAGCATGACACTGGGCTGGAACACAAAATTCATGTTATTAGCAAAGCAGATACATTTTTCAACGGGCCACCCATCATCATTCCACTCATAAATCTACTAAATATCAAAATACACTGTTATAACGTTCTTAACACAGAAAAGGACCAACCAATTACTAAGTTAAAAATAAAATGTGTCATATACGTACTTCCTCGAATATGCTCCCCACGTTGGCGGTGATGAGAAGTACCGGCACGCCGTTGGCCATGATTACTTCGCTTCGGAATCGATCCACAAGAATATCGGAGTATCAGAGGAGGTCACCCCCGGGCCAGGGAGCGTCCTCAGGTACTAACGTCAGACTCCGTTGTCTCGTTTCTGATGACGGTTGCCAACGGGCACCGGACGTCCCGGGTTCCTCAGGTTGACGGAGCACGACGCAGGCCGTTCCTCTTTGAGGCTGTTCCCAATAAGAAAACTAAAATAACATGAAATAAACAATTTTAATTCCATTAAATACTTGATTCTATTCTCTGCCAGAATTGAAAGAAATTAAAGTAGAAATATATTCCTCTTTATCAAATTTGACATAAATCAGAGTACGCTGTGCGAACAGAATAAAATTAAAATTGACAGGAAATGTACTTCTTCTGCTTGAATCGGACTTATGGAAAGAACCAAGTATTAAATACGAAGTCACTTTACGTTGAAACTATAAAATCTTGAATCTCGTTCCATTCGAGCTTTCTTACCGGGCTCGGCGGTGATAGGGCGTCGAGGTGGAGAAACGACCCTCCAGTGCCCTGCCGTAAACCAGACTGGAACTCCGTTCCTGATCCTCGTCCTCGCGGTCCTGGCCCTCCTCTCCTAAGACTCAACCCCCGTGCCGCCAAGTAGGCACGCTCGCGCGCCGTTCACCGCTCGCATCTAACCACCTACTGCAAATACACATTATTAATCAAATAATGCAAGTCGTCGGCGCACGGGAAAAGAGTTGTGTGGTAAATATATCCCTCTATCGGTCGCGCTGCGAGGCCACGCCTACCGCGGACGTCAATAGGCAGTGTCGGCGATAAAGGGGCGCCATGAGGAACTTAACCTAGAGCGTCATTCACGAGGAAATCCAAGATGGCGGCCGACGTGCGCGTCGCCATCTTGGCTTTTCCCAGACCGTAAACAATTCGCTATCTCCGAGACGCTGGCCAATAGCGTCTTTTCTTTATCAGAAATCACCAACCGGGTGGCTAAAGGAATCCAACTTGTCCCAAGGAAAGGCTTTCCCAAGTTAAATAACGACTAATCGAAGGTTACAACTTCGGGTGAAAGCAGATAATACCCGGGTAACAAATGACGACGGCGCGAATTAATCCGATTTCTATATGACTACTCAGAGATTTTCCAGGATGCGACCCGAATGGTATGGAAAGTAGTAAATTATTTCATGTTTCACGTATTTTTTCCCAGAAAGCAATATTTCTAGGGTCCCTTGACACGGCCCTGGACTCGTCGGAAGCGGGTTTCAGATGCGCGCGAGAGGAACGAAAGGCGCGCTTACAATCTATTCGTGCTAACGCTTGCTTCGGCGCTCTCGTTTCGCGTCACCGCCTGCGAGCCTCTCACCTCTCGCAAAACCCTCTTCCCTGCAAGCCCCGGCGAAAGGTTTCCCGTTAATAGACCTGATATTTATCAAGGTAATACGTTTAAAAACCCGTAAATTAATGCATGTCTTCCAGATCCGAGAACCTCGGCGTTCACCCCTCGTACTGACGTTACGGCGCACATGGTATACACTCTCGTCCTGCTTGAGTTTCCTTCTGTCATCCTAATCAGCTGACCAGAGCGCTACGTCGTCTGCTAGAGTGACGTTTACAAAATCAATGGCTTTTCGAATATCACCGGTCAGTTTCGCACATCCAAATCCAAGCAAACCCTCAAATTAACCTTAGGAAATTTAAGCAAAGTTCGAACATAAGTCGTAACGATTTTTTAAACTTATTAAATCCCCCAAATTTTCAGAATTCCAGTGGTCCGCTTCTAAGCCCCAGATGAAGCGGAGACCTCCGAGCTGTCCAGCTTTGATCTTCCCTTGAAATTCGAAATTCCCGGGGACTTTCTCGAGGAGTTACTCAGAACGGAGTATACTTTCTTTCCGGCACTCGAGTTGTCGGCCGTCTGTTCGCGGACGATTCGGACCAGCTGGGCACGGCGTCGTCTGCTAAGGTGACGTTTCCAAAATAAATCCTTTCCAACGAATAGTCCAAATCTAATAATCGAATCCCTGGATTCGCCTAATATTTTATCTTTTCTGTAAAACTAGGTGGAGTATCTCGTTAATGCTAGCTGCAGTTTAGACAGCGAGTTAGACGTCTATTTTCGGTCAAGCAGGCGGGATGACGAATACCTCTCGAATCTAAGCGTGGAGGATTTTTCGGAGCTAAAGCCTGCAAGCGTGGACGCAATCAGCGGTGAAAAGCGGAGCCTTGACTCTTTCGGGGCACCGTGCTCTTTAAAAGGACCTTCGATATAAAAGGAGAGTCAATCCATAATGTCAGGAACATCGGGACCCGCTGCGTCGGCGTCTTTCTCGACGCAGGCGCAGGGGAGGACCTATGGTCTCTTGCCGGTAACTGCTGAGCGTTTAAATTCGAAACCTAAACCCCGAAAGGAACTAAACATCTCGAAGATTATTCGGGAATAATTTATCCCGAGGGAGTCGCAATTATATACGTCATTTAAATTAAATTCCTCCGAAAGTCGAGGTTCTCTCGACCCCAGTTCTATGTCTGGAATTACCTACTTTTGCGCAAATGATTTTGTAATGGACAAACGAGAAACTTGAAGCGATGATTTATAATGTGTTAAAAGGGAGGGAAAAAAAATCTACCCGATCACTTAAACCAGGTTCTATTTGCGTTGTCCAGGTCGTACACGGGACGCTCCGAGGATGCAGCCGAGCGTCTTGTTATTATCGACTTTGGCGGCCTTCGCCGGCGCTGAAAGCATCGTGATGTCCAAGGTTTTCATCATTCCCATCACCCCGCAGACCTTCGATTGGAAGATCGACGGTAAGCCCGGAAATTCGAAAAACGAGGGAGAGAATCCAGGCGAGCCCGATCTACTCCTTTATTCCTATTCGCGCGGCCCGACCCCCTTTATCCCGCGAGATGAAGAATTTACATGTTCTCCAGTTTCTGGGATATTTTTCGATAATCCAGCGGAATCAGGTCAGGTATTTTCTTGCCTGAGAAGCTTTAGCCCTTTGAACTCGCTGAATGGGAGGCGCTTCTTTTGCATTTCGCTCCAAGGTTTCCATCGCGCTTTCAACCGGCTCGAATGGAGTCGCTCTTGGCTTCGTCAATAAAATCTGCCCCAGAGTGGTTTTCTTTTTAATCCACGTGCTTTACCGGTTAAATGTACCAGCCGAGCTTTGCTTAACGCATAATCCAGTCAAAGATACGTGCAGGCTTTTATCGCCGATCAACGTAAGCAGTACGCGAAGCGTGTGCTATTCCAGTTTTTGCGATACCGCGCTTAATGCTCAATTGCAGCAGCCGTGAAATAAAAGTATGTACGCGCCTCCACTCGTACGTCACTCGATACATACTCGGCCATGTACTCTGAATAATGACGCGGCCAGATCCTGATCGTTTTATTGACCTATCAGCTGATACCAACGGGCACCCGCGGATTATATTACGTAAAATCCTCGACGGATGAAGAGCATCCGTGTGACTGGCAGGCAAGGTTTAATACGATTTTTTTCTTTCCCTCGTTTTTTCACGAAGCACTTTTCACTTTTCCAGGAAGGCACGATCAATTCTCCTACCAGCCGTCTTTGCTGAACGTCCCCGATTTGCCGCCTTGGATTCATTACACCTACAGTAGACGCGATCATCAAGGATTCTTATACGGCGTCGCACCGAAAGATCAGGAAGACTTTCAGGTGATTAATTCCCTCGAAATTGCCAGCGAGAATGGGGAGAAGAAAAAAAAATCGTAAAATCACTCGAAATGAATAATGCATCGCGCTGTAAATTTCTGTACTTGGCACGCACGTGAGCCGACACTTTGCGAATGTGTCCAGATTGTACGGTATTCATTATGCGAACTATGACGACAATGTTCCAGCTAGAGATTGTGGGCCTAAATAAGCACACTTACGAGACGAGGTACAAGGTCCTAGCAGTGAACGTGCTCGATAAGGAGAACCTTACTAGGTACGAGGTGCACCTCAAAATCGACAATCTCAACGTCGAGGACATGTTCGACGCGAACAGGACCGACCGGCTTCTCGACGTCTTTAGGTGAGAAATTCGAGGGTTTCCTATCCGACGATTTCGTAAGATATCGACGAACGATTCGTTATCGACAGGAAAAACCTGTGGAAGGAGGCCACGGATCTCTACGTGACGTTCCTGGCCTCAGCGGTCGAGCTCGGCGCCCGTCTTCCTCTGAAGCCCGAAGAGGGCGAAGGGTGAGAACATTTAATTAATTAATCAATACCGAGGGAATTTTAAATAGAACCCCTTTGAACGTCCGGACCATTTTAGGATATAGTGGCGACGACTGAGGACTTACGAATTATCGCAGAAAATCTCCCCCTACAGAGATGAACTCCAGCTTGTTCACGCAGCACTCACGGAATGTCATCCGTGACCGCCACTTCGCGTCAACCGGCCGTCCCAATTTTTTTTTTCTCTCGCGTTTCTCCCGTTTCTCAGGTGCGGGAGGAACGTTCAAATCCGACTTCCAGAGCGCCAATGTTGACCCTCGACAAGGCAAAGCACAGACTCGTCCGCTATCGCGGACGTGCATTTATCGTCCGACCAACGGAAGCCGGCCTCGTGGAGCGGTTTCCTATTCCCGTACACTTCGCCAGCAGTAATTGTTACTTCCTTAGCCACTCTATCTCTTCGGCAAATAGCCGATCGAGGTAAATACGTAATCCGAACGGATACAGGTTTCCGGTTTTCGGAACAAATGCGTCAGCGAATCGTGCGTTAACTCCTGTTCGCGTTCTCGGGCATTCCCTAGGAATACGCAGAAAAGGATTTTTCTCCACCGGTGACGCTCGGGTCCACGATGACGCGAATTCCTCTGATTGGACGGTTCATTGAAAAGGAGAAAGTCACCAGTCAGCGTGGGATTCCTAGCGGCTGAGGCAGAATTTTAAGAGAAAAATTCCTGAAACCCCGCTGATGATGCTTCACCCTGGGAAGGGGTTATTCTCTGCCAGCTAATATTCTAATTATTTCTGTTTAGAGCGGTTCTCAGACTCGGCAGCTCCGTCCCGTTTTCGCAAGACCTGAACGTCCTCCAGGAGGAAGTCAAGCCTCTGTGGAAATTATCGTCCTGCGCCAGGAACTTCAAAAGGACCACCGTCGAGAGATGGTTCAGAGAAGCTGGCTTCGTCCTGGACTGGTGCTCCTTCAGGCTGGTCCGTAATTAATATAAATTACATGACCATGAATCGAGAAATTAAATTACTACCGTAATAATCATCCCTGTCGTGCAGATAGAGGAGAACCATAATCTCCACCGAGAGAGCGCGAGACGTGGACCAAACATGAACGTCATCGGACTTCCCTCTTCAGAAAATTCGGGCCACTCCGAGTGGCGTTGGGCTAGGCCCACGAAATCGGGAACGCCGACGAGGAGTTACTTAAAAGAAACTGCAACGACCGTCTTTGTCCCTACCGCCTTGCTTCTGATATTTGCCGGACTCCTCACGACCGCTCTCTGCATCCACCACGAGAAAATGTGAGTACGCCGAGACGCGACTTGGCCAAGATGAAATTTCTCTCCCTCTTTCTCCACGTTAAGGCGATGCGAAATTGGCATCGGCGAGGTCTCGTTGGAGAGATGTTTCATGACCAATTGACCCCTCGGATGTCACTTTCACATCTACTTAACGCGTCTAGGCTGGACGTGGAGAAAAATCTAGGACACATTAGTGGAATTCTGGCACGTCGATGACGCACGAGAGGTACTGGCTTCGGTTTCTGGGCCGAGATGCATATCGCGGTGCGCGAGCTGCTTTTGTGGCTAAACGACACGTTCGCAGGAAGATCCGCAAAACGCGGATCACGCATCATCTGCGGATGTAGTCACTTGGGAATCATACATACACGATCGCTCGCCAATACCCGAACCGGCTCTTCTGGTAGGCGTCGAGAGAACGTGAGAAGGGACGATCCTGCCAACTTTCATTCATTCATAAATGGCGATTCGATAACGGCCCGTCTGGTGACGCGTCAAGTCGGCTGGATCAAAAGTATTAAACACACCGTCGGCGACCAGTGATAAATCGCGCGGACGTGAGATTATCGTAATCGTAAAACGTGGCGCCTAAGCGACGTACACGGCGCGACGTTAATGCCCACGAGCGTCCTCGTTATCGTCGCGGTTTGACCCCGAATTTATCTCTTATCACGTAAGGAACCTTTCACCGTCGGGTAATGAAAAAGAAAGTGAATGAATTGACAAAACATGTCCATTAAAATGTGTCAAATAGGGACCGGGTGGCGAGTGCTATGTACTTGTACATAGGGTTGCGTAGACGCAGGTGCACTTGTGATAGCGCTTATCGTTGCTATCATGGGTAAGTGACCGCCGCGGAAGGCTACTTGGAAACGTCAGGTCACTATTCGCATGACTAGTTCGATCGTAACTAGTGACGTAATCCGCTTAATTACTGAAACCGGTACAGCCTGCAATTGTGCATTCTAGCAGTCGGTAACCCTCTCCTCGAGTGAATCCGTGAGTGTCACGCGATCGAGTAGTTTTTTTTTCTTTTTTTTTTTTGTTAATCGACGGTATGAAATTCAAATATTGCAACGTCAGTCCGCATCTAAATTGTCTACTTTATTCGACCTTTATCTTATTTTAGATAAAAGAATTCGACGCTACGGAGGAAATGATAAAGTCGCTCTCTAGACTGCCTCGGATGTCAAGCTGCGCCTGTCTCGCGATGACTTGATTTTGCCCCGTTTTTTACGAGTCTCGTTAACGTCACGTTAAGAGTGACGGGATATCGATTTGGCGTGTCGTCAGGACTATATTAAGTTTTTATTAGCCCGAGTTATTTCTCCCGAGCAGTTTTTAGATGAATTATTAATGAGCCTTCGATGTCCACAGAGGCTCAGACTTATCTCGATCTGGACTTGTACATCGACTGGTCAATTATGACTGACCGTGATTATTCGCGCCAATAGATGTTGCAGTCTTCTTGCCCCGCAACATTGTTAACCAGCGTGGACAACGCCTCGCGTTGGTAATGATACCTCTTAATCAATGGTAATTACTGAAATCAGCACGTGGCCCGTCCTCGCAAATATTGCCACAAACGCGTAAAATCGTGCGTCAGTGTGCAATTATTTTCTGATTAACAAAACAACGCGAGAGCGTCACGTGGATGACAATAAGTTGTCACGGCACGATCTCGCCTCGTTATTTCGCATTCCGGGTAAAAATCCTGACGTCCACGCCGTTTTGAATTTTCCGGAAATTAATAATTACCGCGAGACGGGGGAATAAAATTTATTAATAGCAATTGGAAGATTAATAGTCATTATACGCGTACTCACGTGAACCCGCGCGTCAGAAATACGGTTCGTCGGCACGGTCGACTTCTCTCCGGCATTCACGTTGACACTGTCAAGTCAGTCGTAAGACTGTCACGTTTACGTGAATGCGATCGGAAGCACCGAGTTCCTTTACGAAAACACCCCCGTATGTAAATTCCCGCGTCATACATAACGCGATATCGTATCGTTTACTATTCACCGACTGGCTGAAATAATTCTTGCGATAAATTCTGCACTTGCTCGGCCGCGAAAAGCGAATCTTGGGGTGATGTAATTGGCGAGTGTAAATATTCCTAAATGCCATTTAGAAGCGGACGTCAATGCGCGGATAAACGCCCACTAATGGGGAGCGCAGTGAAACAGCTGATGACAACGGCGACTTAATCATTTCCTTGCAATTCCGATCACTTATTAATGTCGGTAAATCCTTAATGGATATTCTTAATGGATAGAGGGAAAAACCTGTCTACAAAATTCAGGCAGGCTTTTCGCTCTCATTTGTCGAGGGGAAACGTAATCGAAGCTGGACGGTATGCCTTGAACCATTTAGGCGCCTTTGGGTAAGTATACGCATACGTTCTCGTTACTTTGGCGTAAAGGCCTTAATTAATGGCCAATCGATTTACAAGGTAACGTTAACAATCTGCCCAAGGATAGACCGCGATCGACGTAAGCACTAGCCTAATCGTTATCGTTTTTCGCGATATCGCGGCGATGCGACGTCAATCTTGACGCGTAATCGTGAAACCGCGGACGATCCCCCGTGATATCGATCAGCTGATAGAATCGATACTCCGAGGAATACGTTTTTTATTTCCCGTAGGACCGACCCGGAGTCTAATGAGTACGTCTACGAACTGTTTAACGTTTTTCTCAGAAGCAGCGTTACGAGGTAAAGACATCGCTTTGGTCTCGTGCATCGCCTCGGCACGTAACACTTTTCCAGGCTTTTGCATTAAAAAATGAATTGTTATCGAATGACTAACCACGCCTTGCGTGCCCGAAGCATCCCTAATGGTAGCGGTGTTTGAGGAATTTAAATAAAATCAATTGACGGAGCGCTATGATTTTTTTAATTCGTTATTTCTTATAGGGAAAAACGAGAATTGACGCCGGTCGAGGGTCTGGGGAACAATGGAGTGCAAATGGTCCAGTATGCCACTTCCGAACGAGGGACCTTAAAATCTCTTTCTGCCCAACCTTCCAGCCCCTGCGACTCATTGTCTCGTAGCCCAAGGTACGTCTAAATGGGCTAGGTTTTCTTAGAAAAAAAAAAAGAGCGAGAGAATGTAAAACGCTAAAAGGAACTTTCATTGGATCTTCCTTCTTTTTTTTTTTTTTTCCAGAACGTCAGTGGAACGGTGCAATCCGTACGTTCGCCCGAATCCCCCCCCGTACATGGGACCGAATAATGTGTAAGTATTTATAATGACTATTAGAAATAGTAAGTGGAACAATATAATATTTTGTTAATTTCTATGTACTTTCAGGACTGGGGTTCGAGCCGATTTCTGACTATACGAGGAGCCAGCAAAAACATGGTTTTGCTAGAAGTGTAGGATTCCGTAAAGGATTGAGATCTACACTTCAGCGTCAAAATGACGAAACCGTGAAAACTGGCTCCGATATTAATTCCAGGAGTAATCTACAGGGTGGTGCTCCATATACACCACTCAAACTCAAGACATAATACTGCCACATATCCTGTTAAGAAATTCTACGCATGTGTCGGATTCACAGTAATCTGATCAAATTAGCATTAATTTCGTAGAGAATGTGTGGAATGTTTGCGATAAAGTCAAAGTACAGACAAGTGGAGATACGAAAATTAACCGAGTTCTCCTGATTTAATGCCGTTTTTTCCTTTACATCATTTAACTTTCCTCGTTCTATCAATTAACAAGAAGATGAAATATACGGTCGTTCGATTATTGCATGAAAATTAAATCGGGTATTTTATATTTTAATATAAGCAGTTATTTGATCAAATTAAAGTGATCCGTTCTTACGCCAGTAATTGGCATTACGTAAAAGCTTCGAAACGCTCCCACGAGAGGACGCCGCGAACGGTGACATTGTTCGACAAAGATGAGTTGGGAGATTTCTCACTTCCCTTCGACTAGGGGTCGTGATGTATAGAGGTAATTCATTTCTGGCAGAAATGAGTTGCTCCGCCATTGAGGGATAACAGGTAGGAAGCGGATTAACCGTCCGCATCCTCCGCCAGGGGCAGCACAGGACGCGATCACACGACCCTGCTCGTGACCAATCTCTCAACTCATCTCTGGTGTCGTTTTCCTGCTAAAAAACGTTTTACGATGTTTTCTTCGGCGCCGCGTATAATTTCATTTACATCTCGACTTGCAAATTGAAACATCAGAACGAGTTTTTAATATAGTGTTTAGACATTTCGGTTGGTTGAAGGGAATCTGACGAATATTTCTCGACCTAACCTCGTTCTTTTTCAAGGTTATGTTATGAAGTAACGTTAGATTGATAATTTGAAATCCGTGGAATTCTCGCATCAACGATAAAATGTCGTATTTAACGAAGAAAGAAATAGATGAGATGAAACCGCAGATCGAAAAGGCGGTTCATAAGTTTCTGGGTTTTGGAGAACCAGCTATTGTTACTACTGCTGTTAATTGCATAACTTCTGGCTATGACAAAAGAAAAACAGCAGGTCAGTATTTTAGAGATTAATTAAAAAATAATAGATGCAGATTGCATTTCTCGGTTAATGCCATTAGATCATTTTATCTCTAGATAAACTGTCCGCACTCTTGGAGGACAAGAAGGCATCTAAATTAACAGAGAAGATATTTACTATTTACGATGATACCAAAGCGGCACAAAAGTCTAGGAAGCGATCTCACACAGAGGACAAGGACAAGGAAAAGGACTCGAAGAAGGCCAGGCTAAAGGACGAAGAAGTAAAAAATGACAAGACCATCGAAGCGCATCTCTCGGCGGATAAGGTTTGTTTAATGGTTCTGGTAATTTATTAACTGCATTTTAAATTATATATTATATACATTTAATTATCTAAACCTGTACTTACAGATTAAACAAATGATGGCAAATGCACAAAGAGAAATAGAGGAAAGGAAAAGAGCATTAAAAGCAATAAAGCAGGACGACGTTCCACCGGTGAGACCTCTTTTTAAGGCCCGTGACTCTTTGCCAAATTTAGGAAGCATGTATAATCAAGGACTACTGAGTAAGACCGATTCGGACAAGGCAAGGAAAATTGCTGCACTTCAAGCTCAGATTAGGAATAAATTAAGTTCGGGCTTGCTTGGTAGCGTCGGGGTGCCAGATAAACCTACTCCTCTCATTTTGGACGAATCTGGAAGAACCGTGGACATAACGGGAAAGGAAGTCCAGCTCACTCAAGTCGTACCTACCTTGAAGGCAAACATCAGAGCGAAAAAGCGTGAAGAATTCAAAGCTCAGTTACAAGAGTCAAAAGGCCCAGAAGAGATTCAAGACACCCACTTCTTTGACAACAGGATAGGTACTAAGTCTGCAATTCGTGGTAAGAGAGCTCTGAAGTTTCATGAACCAGGGAAATTCCAACAGTTGGCCGAGAGGATACGTATGAAAGCGCAACTAGAGAAGCTGCAAAATGAGATCAGTCAAATTGCTAGGAAAACAGGAATCAGTTCAGCTACGAAATTGGCATTGATCGCTCCGAAAACTGAAGCACTCAGCGAAGATGTACCTAACGTAGAATGGTGGGATTCCGTCATTGTAACGGGAAGTTATGCCAGCGAAGACGAGTCTACGTCGATCAAAAACTCTACGATTACAAACTTAGTGGAGCATCCAACCCAGATGAGACCACCAAGTTAGTTATAAAAAAATATTCTTCAAATATTTCACGCATTAAATTAACTAATGTTAAACCAATTTTTCAGCGGACCCACTGAAGCCGATCTACATGCCCGTTTTCCTCACGAAGAAAGAACGCAAGAAACTACGAAGGCAAAATAGACGGGAAGCTTGGAAAGAGGAGCAGGAGAAGATCAGGCTTGGTTTGGAGCCTCCTCCGGAGCCAAAACTAAGAATCTCCAATCTGATGAGGGTTCTAGGTACCGAAGCAGTGCAAGATCCTACGAAAATAGAAGCTCACGTTCGCCAGCAGATGGCGAAGAGATTAAAAGCTCACGAGGATGCAAATGCTGCAAGAAGACTCACTGCCGAGCAACGTAGGGAGAAGAAGGCCAGGAAGATAAAGGAGGACACTAGTCTAGGTGTACACGTCGCTGTCTACAGGTGAGCAGGATTTTAAAATGCATATAAAATTTTTGAAAGAACAAAAATATATGTAAACGTTGACTCCGATTTCAGAATTCGAGATTTGGTGAACAATGCCTCGAAGAAGTTCAAAGTGGAGACAAATGCGAAGCAGCTCTATCTAACGGGCTGCGTGATGCTCTTCAGGGATTGCAACGTTGTGGTGATCGAGGGAGGTGCGAAGCAGCTCAGCAAGTACAAGCGATTAATGATGCATCGCATTAAGTGGGAGGAGGATACGGTGAAGGACAATGACGGAAACGACGTGCCTAACAGGTGCGTCCTTGTGTGGGAAGGCACCAGCAAGCAGCGCCACTTCGGCGAGATAAAGTTCAAGATTTGTCCCATTGAGAAAATGGCCCGAGAACACTTTAAGAAGCATCAGGTCGAACATTACTGGGACCTTGCCTACAGCGGAGCGGTACTCGATAATACGGACGATATTCGCCCTTAAGACGCAGAGTTAAGATCGGCGACCGAACTGACGTCCATGTTGGCGTGAAAGTCGTAATTCAATTACGATTCTTATTAAGCGACCGAGGGCAATCGTTGCTCCGTTACTCAGTCGCGTTCCTCGTCTTAGATCCTCTTTAAGATCCGACTGCTACGTAGTGGAATCTCGGTAAATGAAGAATTCCTCGGAGGGGGCCAGAAATTGCGACTTAAGTCATTGTCCGATCGTAATCGTAATTGAATTGCACCCTCATACCGATTACGGGCGCTTATACCCTGAGTCCCGGGGACTCTCCGAGTAAGCCAGTAATTATGGAAGGATAATAACGAAGAATAAATTGTTTACTAGAACCGTCTGATGTAATTTCCTGTCCTCGACGCACGTCGAAGGCCAGTTTCTCGCGGTTCAGGGTGAAGAGCCTCCGCTCTCCGCAAAACCGGGCCGATTTTGTAAGCGACCGACTTTCCTAATCCGTAGGGCCCGACGATTATCGGAGAGAGTGCTCTTCTCTGCCGGGCGTTTTGCTCGTCCCCACTGCAGCCAGACCCGCGCACCTATTAGCATAACGTTATGGCGTTGGAACGCTTGCCTAACGCATTATGCAAACTCGCGGTATGTACATGGTGTCTGCAAATGCCCAATTACAATTGTACAATACGTTGGTAAACCCAACGAAAAGAATCTCGCTGAGAAAAGAAAAAGGAACAGGAACATAGGATAACCGAGGAGGTGGCACGGAGGTTCTCCCGAGCAAAAATTTTAGGGGTTGAAAATTTCGATTTCTAACAGGAACATAGGACAACCGAAGAGGTGGCACGGAGGTTCTCCCGAGCAAAAATTTTAGGGGTTGAAAATTTCGATTTCTAACAGGAACATAGGATAACCGAGGAGGTGGCACCGAATTTCGTGCGTTAGATCTACGAGTGATTTTCAAGGATCAGGATCAGGCAATTAAAGGGTTCGCTAGACATGTTCGTCTAATTAAACGTACTCATTGTCATCGTTCAATAACTTCTTTTATTACATTAATTATTTTACAGTTTATTATACATCAGGTACCGCAAGTACATAAGTTCTCGAGCTCGTTTTTCGCGTTACCATCACGAGACTGCACCATGTTCACGAGGAAGCCATTCATGACCGGCAATGTACGGTAGAAATGCACGTAAACCTGCAATGCGTATGTGCGCGACTACCAAAGCGAACGGCTGTAGTTAGTACGTACCGAGACGAGAAATGTCTTATTCTAGGTGCGATCCGTCTTTCTTCGGCATCTCGCGCGATACGCTTCGAACTAGTCGACACCCTGTACGGCGAAGATCCCGTCGGTCCCCCACCCGGGAGGAGCTGGACAGTCCCTGGAGCGGGAACTTACTTTCGTTCGTACGTCGGCCTCGGTTCAGTTCAGGTTTACTACTCGGCTCCTCGTGGCCCTCGCTCGGTGCACTCTCTCGACTAACTCGGCTCTGCTCCGTTCCCGTACCTACCGAGGACCTGTGAGAAAGTAATCCCAGTAACTCGCGCGCATACAGAGAATCATGCAGCTCTCGGGGTGGAGGTGAGCGCTTTCGAATGCATTATTTTCCGCCGGCGCATATCACGTGCACGCAGCGATCGCGGATGTGGACATCATACACTCGCTCGGACCGAATTAATTGGATAATTTGTATTACCTTATGGGTATGTCGATAAATTGATATCACGCGAACGACCGTTATGGGCATAAATCGGAAGCCAGTTACGTTAATCAATGAATAAACATTAATATCAATAGGATCGAATCGAGTTTTGTCCCAGGTTTTTACAGAATCCGGTAGCGACGTAGAATCGGGAATACGTCGTAGTTGCGAAACGAGGATGCACGGGAGAATCAGGAAATGTCTCCCCTAAATGTCAGGCTATTTTAAGTTCCGCGATGACATACGCAAAAACCAGCCCGAGCGGCGATCTTTATCGGTATTGGAAGAGACTTCTGTCGCGTGATCGATGGTTGCACTCGATGCCGCTACTACATAATAGGCAGGGTCGGGATGCGATGTTTAATGCACGATCAAGCCAGGGCGTGACTCGAGATTCTTTCGCCGATGTCTCGTTTTGTTTTACTCCCCCGCGAGATGAGAGATACGAAGATGTTAGATAAATGGGAACCTTTGAGTCTCGCCAGGTTAGCGATGCTGCTGGTCTTGGCCGAGGGCACGATTCTGCCGACGAGGATGCTGCAGGACCTGAACAGGAGAACGAACGCGACTATGGAGAAGTACGAGGAGATGGAGGAGAGGATCTTGAGCTCCAGGACCCACCTGCAGCAGGGTTCGCCCTCCTGGTACCTGGGAGCATCCCACGAGATGAGCGCCGCGGCCAGGACGCTTTCTCGGAGAGCGCTGCGCAGCGAGACCATGGCCGTGATGCTGGTGGAGGCCTTGAAGATGACCCCGAAGGAGGCTGCGAGCCTCCTGCCCACCGTAGGCCTCGGGCTGTGCACAGGGGAGGCCGCCAGCGCGCTGCACCTCACCAGAGAGTGCCAGAAGGTCGATCCCAGGTTCAGGACTCACACCGGCAGGTGCAACAACCCCCTGCATCCCGCCTGGGGCGCCGCCCTGGAGCCCTATTCCAGGCTAGTGGTCTCTTCTTCTTTTGTTACCGCGCGGTACGCCTTTCGACGACTGCTCATTTCCTTTGACGAAATCGCAGGCTCCTGCCGGCAGAGTACACGGACGGGGTGTCCTTGCCCAGAAGAGACCTGCCCAGTGCTCGGAAGGTTTCCCTGATGGTGCACGCGGGGACCTCCGACTCCAAGCACCCTTTCCTGATGGCCCTGGTCGCCCTGTTTGGCCAGTTCCTGGCCAACGACCTGGCCCACACTCCCAGGATGGAGCTCTCTCGCGGGAAGAGGCTCAAGTGCTGCGACGTCGAGTTCGAGCACTTCCATCCGGAGTGCTTCCCTATCGGTGCCGAGAACTCGGTACACTGCATGGAGTATTCTAGGTCGGCGCCTCATCCCGGGAATACCGTGCAGGTAACGAGTCCACCTACGATTTTGAGAATACCTTTCACAGTTATGGCGTCACGCTTAATCGTAGCTAATAAAGAAAGGACAATAAATTATGAGTATTTGATCGACGTGGAAAGTTGCGTAAATTTTGAGCTCTCCGAAGGTGTCTATAGTCTTTCCACGATCGCGGGTTCCTTCGTGTGAATTATTGCTGTGGTGAAAGCGGAGAGTTCACCGCCTGTAAAAACCCACGAGAAGTCGCGAGACGCGTTCCCTCCGAGACTCGATATGTAAAATCCCGAGGGAAAATTTATTTTACTTAAACCTCTTAGGTGAGGTTTAAGTAAAATTGTTATTTAAACCTGCGTGCAGGGATGCAAGCTGGGTCCGAGGCAACAGATCAATCAGGCGACCTCCTACGTGGACCTCTCTCCGGTCTACGGCAATTCCGAGGAGATCTCGAAATCCCTGAGATCCGGGAAGGGAGGCACCTTAATGACCCAGAGGAAAAATCTACCGATGCCCTCGGAGAGCACCGACGAGTGCAGAAGTCCCAACGCGGCCTTGCCCTGCTTCCTCGGAGGGGACTCCAGGGTGAACGAGCACCCCGGTCTGACCCTGATGCACGTCCTCTTCCTGAGGGAGCACAATCGCGTCGCCAAGCAGTTGGAACAATTGAATCCCCACTGGGACGACGACAGGCTCTATCAGGAAGCAAGGAGGGTCGTAATCGCGGAAATGCAGCACATCACTTACAACGAGTACCTGCCCGTTGTTCTTGGGGAAAACGCTCTGGACAGGTGCCCGTTCATTTAACCGTCCTATAAAAACGACACCCAAAGGAATGACCAAAAATATCATATCGAGACATTTACCCGGATCTTTTCGATAAATGGAATAGCCGTTTACCTTCTGTTGCAAAGATATCAACTGCGACTGAACACCGGAGGACTCTCGGACCGGTACGACTCGAGGGTGGACGCGTCCTTATCGAATGCAGGGGCATCCGCTGGTCTCTTCTTCGCGGCAGTGCTCACCCCGAAGACCTTGGACCTGGTGGACCTTCGCTCCTCCTCGAAATCCGGGGAGAGGTCCCTCCTCTCGTCTTTCTACGCTCCTCAGGAACTGTACGAGGCCGGGGCGATAGATCGCCTGATTGCCGGGGCGACAGGTAGTAGTCGGTACAGTAATGTGTATCCAGTATTACGACGGAGCTACCTCCAATTGGGGCTCGATGATGCTCGAGGTCTTCCCTACTTTTCTGATTCAACTCCGCGAACTGTTTTCCCTTTCCTTATCCCAGCGGGTCACTCGAGGAAACCTCTTCCTCCGGGGCTCAACGAGGTGCTGCTGAGCCGATACTTCCACGATGGGAAGAGCAGCGAGACTCCGGTTGATTATGCGGCCCAGGCCATCCAGGAGGGCAGGGACCACGGATTGCCGCCCTACGTTAGATGGAAACATTTCTGCGACCTCGTAGAGGTGACCGACTTCCGGGACTTGGAGGGGACCATTGCCGAAGACGCACTGAAGAAATTGCGCAGCGTCTACGAAAAGGTCGAAGACGTCGATCTATTGACTGGGGCCTTATCGGAGGCTCCCGTCGAAGGGGCCGTTCTGGGCCCGACGTTTCTCTGCCTTCTGGGCCGGGTCTTCCGAAACGCCCGATTGGGTAAATTTAACGATTCTCTTACGAGGTGAAAATGACTTGAAATTATGACGAATTCATCCACAGGCGACAGGTACTGGTACGAGAACGTCAATACCCCCGGAGCGTTTACACCTGTGCAGATCGAGGAGATCCGTAAGAGTACGATCGCGAGAATACTTTGCGACAACGGGGACAACTTGAAGAGGATTCAGCCGAGAGCTTTCATTTTACATGACCGGTTCCTGTGAGTGTCCCTAAATCCTCTTTACCCCATTTAAGCGTTCTCAAGTACCAATTCGCAATTAGCCCCGCGTTAACTTTTTTAGAAACAATCTGGCGGACTGCACCTCTTACCTCGGGGGAGGTTTGGACTTGACCCCGTGGAAAGAAACACAGAAGACGCCCGAAAAAATGGCCTAGCGGTTTCATTGTCGTCCATTTCCAACGCCGGGGAGAAACCATTCGCCCGGGAGCCGAAAAACCGCCGAACCTTCTTTTTTACGCATCGAACCAAAGGAGTCGATACGTGCGAGATTTTCTTCCTTGGAAGAAATCTTTCTGCGCGTATTAGAGATTAAATAAAAAAAATATAGAAGAAAAGAAAACGGTAGTTCCATGCTTCTCCCAGAAATTGTAAAGAAGCGTAGCACCGATCCATTAAATCCCAAAGGTTCGTCTCGACTGTCGGTCGGGAGGTGTTGGCTGCAATCGATGAAAATGAATAATTCGTAACTTAAATAGAGGAACCGAGGAACCTTAATCGGGCCCTCGTTAAAAGTGAAGAAAAAAATCTCGCGAGGTCCCTCGGCCCGAGACTTTCGAGGTCGGGGGTCGAGACTCGGACCTCGGCCCGGCAGGTTGTGCAAGGTGTAATCGCCGGAAAGTCCCTCTCGACGATTACCGCGTCCAAAGAATGCCGAAGAACTGCAGCTTTGACATTTATAACGCGAGGCCGCGTAATAAAGGCAAGCCACGTGAGAGAAGCGCCGCGAAGCGAGCGCGAACGACGAAGGGACCTTGATCCAATGGCCCGGTTCTTCAGCGTCTCGTGAATACGAGAAGCGGCCGTTAAAGAAGTCAATCCTGGCCGCGACACGGCAGGGATTACGCAGCTGTTCGTTGACAACTAAATAAAAAAAAAAAAGAACAGAGACATAATTAAGAAAAATATAAGTGGAGGGGCAACTAGGCCGAATCCCAGCCCGCCCTTCGGCAAATGATCGATCGTTTTATTCTTAACAAACTCATTTATTAAAGTACTAAAAGGGGGAGGACTGAAATTAACAAAATCGAAAAGTTACACATAAATACCAAGTAGTAAGAGTAGAATAAGAATAGTAGTAGTGAAACGAGTAGGCGCGGTCGTGTCTCGCTCGACTCGAATTCAGTCGAATAAAGATATCTCTGGCGCGTTATCGTTTCGCCTGCCATGTTTTTTTTTTCTTTCTTTCATTCTTTCCTAAAGTCGCACCTATCTCTCCCTCTCTCTTGACCTCTCCGAACCTTCCACTCTCTCTTACTCTCGTTCTCTCTCGCTCGCCATGAACACGCAAAGGCGGTTCGGGAAAAGCGGGGGAAATCAATCGGGACGAAGGCTCGTTCGTGAAAGAATCTATTTTTTTTTTCTTTTTTTTCCCTCTTCGCATCGTCTTCGAGAAAAGAGGGGGTGGTTCCGTGGGGAGTGGAGGAAAAAGTGTCTTAATTAACATTAATAACAAACGCGCCTCTGCCTCGCATGTCTCTAAGCCTATCGGGAGGGGCGATCCGCTCTCGAAGCTGCTTCTCAAAATTAAGGAGAAAAAATAGACAAAAGAAAGGAAAATAAAATAAAAAGAATAAAGGACAACGTCCGCAAGAGCCGTGACTCGAAATTACTTCGTTCCGTTTAACAACCACTTGACCCGGTTCTCCGCATCCCTTGTTGCTTTTTTCTCTCTCATTGCGACTTCCCATGGACGATTCCCTTTCGCACTTCCTTTCGACGGAAAGAAAAGGTCGTCCCTTTAAATCTACGAGAAAAGAAGGAGGGACGACCGTCGATCGGTGGACCGCGGCGCGGGAGAAACGATATATCGCTCCGAGGAAAAAAGGAGGAAGGAGCAAAAAACGAAAAGGAACAAAAAAGAAAGGAACGAAATTGATTCTCCCCCCGGCGCGAAACACAGCACGGGCAGACGGACAAACGGACAGACAGACAGTAGACAACTATTTCCGGCGTATATATATGTATATCTCGCTCTCGCTCCTACTCCCTCGACAGCCGCTTCGCTATCTCGCTCCTATCTCTCTCCGGGTCTCTCCCGGAGGCGCGCGCGCGCTCCTTCTCTCACTCTCTCTCTCTCTCTCCCGACTGACTTTTTTCCCTTTGAACACTGGAGGAGGAGGCGCCGGACTTTTCCCTTCTTTTTCCCGCTAAGGATTATTATACAAAATAATTAGAAAAATGTACAAAAAGTCATAAAAATAGTAATAGTTACATAGTACAAATTACTTTTAGGTAATTATAATAGTGTGATTGAGAAAACGAGCACGAAGGTACAGCCCCCCTAACTAGTCGCGAGAGCCTCTCGCGGGCCCCGCGTCCGCATACGCGCCTGACTAACCGCGCGCATTTGCATACACGTATACGCGTATATTATATACAGCAGGTATATATATATATGCGCGAGCACCTTCCCTCGCTCTTCCATATATATACGTATGGTATATCCTATACCGTATGCCATGTACCGTCCGCGCGCGAGGTGATCTCCGCTCCGTTATCGGGTGTTTCTCTTTCTCGCCCGTTCCGTCTCCCTTCCTCGCTCGGCCAGCTCTGTTCGGCTTTTTCTCGACTTGGCGAGGGTGCGCGGGCCGCGAGGGCCTCTCGGTGCGGCTGCGCGCGCCTCTCGGTCGGTCTTCCGGGCGCGCACCGGGCCCGGCGCCCGGGCCCGCGGGCCCTCGCTTCACAGCTCTACGATTTGGGTTTCTAAGCGTGCCTTAATCTTACTAATGCCACCATTCAGCCACCGCCCGGTCCCGGAGAGCTCTCTCCCTCTCCCCCCGCCAGGAAACCGCACTGCCCCCCTTGCGGCGCCAATCGCTGATACCGCCTCAGGCCGTTTGCCCCCGACCGGCTAAACCGGCGCCGGCACCGGCAAAACCGTATTCCTCTTAACGGTAATCGTGTAAATAAACGTAAGTTGAATCGTTGTGGCAGAAGAGTCGATGCCGGCGACGGCGATTTTCTCGGATGCAAGGTAAATAAATGGGAGTTAGCGTTGCCGGATCCGGCGCGTTTGCCGGTCCGGTCGCCGGATTGAACTCGCCGAGCGTAACATGTAATCTTACGTGAAACGGTCGTCACAGCTGATGCCCTCCGATTTTTCCGGGGCGGGTGCAAACGGCCTGACGCGTGTGTAACAAAAATGATCGGACTCGACTCGAGTAATTCGTCGTCGCGACGAGAAAACGCCCCGCAATGAGCGCAACGGTTCTTCCGATCCGCAGAAATCTCGGCCCTTCCGCACCCCTTCTCCAGGGCACGTCGAGGGTTGCCGAAACATCCCCAAAGTCCCTGTCGCCTGGAGCCCGATTCTCGAGTCCACCGGATCAGCTTTCGCATGCGAAATTGACAGTTTCGTGTAAGACTTTCAAACCCTGACCAATGGTGCGACTTTTCAACAATGAAAAATTTTTCAAGCTATCTCCTGATATGCGAAAGAAAAATCTGCCCGACCTCGAGAATGGGGCCCCCGGGGGCGGGGGCGATACCACCGCGCGAGATGATAACTGGGCGCCATTTTCGGTTAACAACGTCGTGGGCCCTATTGCATCGCCATTTACCTATTTATACCATTTATACAGGATACGCTAGAATTTAAATTAAACGTAACGTGCACTAGCGCTCTTTCTCTCTCTCTCCTCGCGCTCCGCCGTGACCCGCGAGACCCGCCCTCTCCGTCTCTCCAGCATTCGCTCTCTCGCTCGCTCTCACTATCGCTATCTATTCGTAACAATGTTCTGCGACCAAAAAAATAAATTCTATGTATTATATTCATATGAATTAAGCTAGGATTACGAATTAGACTACGATATTACAAGATCGACTGTCTCTCTCTCTCTCTCTCTTTCTCTCTCCCTTATTCTTCCCTCCGTCACTCTCCGATTGGTCCGGTGCGGTGGCTTTGTAGGATATTTTGCATCCGCGACTTCCTGGGGCGCCCGCACGCGCGCGCACGGGGAGGAAACAAGAGAGGACCTCCTGTACAACGAGGACGAGAGGTACAAGAAGAACAAGATGAACAACGAGTCGCCAAGTACAAGAAGAGGGGGGGGGGACATCTCGAAGGCGGACGCGGCCGAACCACCCTTTGCGGCCCTTCGCGGCGAAAACGCTCGACTCCTCGGATGCGGAATCCGATCCGGTCCGCGGAAAGAGGAAGGATAAATCTGGAAAGTGGTCGGAGTCCTTTTAAATCCGGAAACGCGCTTCAAACTATCTCGAAGAATCGCGAAAGGGGGATGGTGACCGACCTTTTCCGCGTGCGGAAAACTCTCTCTCTCGCGCGCGCGCGCGCTTCCAAAATCAACGGCCAACCTGTTGCAACCCCTTTCGTCGTTAATCCGTTAATCGTCCTATCATCTAAATATACGCGTGCACGACGACATTCAACGAAAACAAAGGAGGAAAAACATCTGACTTTCCAGTACTCGAGTAATACTGTACATTCAGCTACATATTTAAGATTCGTTTACACACCTATTAACGATCGATTGCATCTTATAACTCGTTGGCGAGCCTCGGGGCCCGATCGCGAGATCATCCCCCCGGAGAGACCCTTATCCCGAGGGAGGGACGAGGAGCGCGGTCGGCAGGGGCGGCGGTGGAGGCGCGCCATTCCCGGAGAACCGCGCGAGGACGGTCGGCGCGCCATTTTTGTTTCTTTGCTTCTTGTTTTTTTTTTTTTATATAGAAAAATGTAAAAAATTTACACCTCGGCTGCGGTATATCTCGATCCCCTCCCCTCCTCCCCCGGGTCCCGGGGATACCGCGGGGGAAGTCGAGCTCCTTTCCCGGCCCTCGCCGGCTTCCGGGTCTCCCGAGTCCTCCCTCGCCCCCCGCCCGGTCGACGTCGAATGGGTACCCGCGAGACTCGCGTGCCCCATTTATTTAGATCAGTTAGTCGATTAGTCGGTTAAAGAATCGTCGAAAACGGAGCGGGGCAAACGCTAACGAACGCGACCGGGCTCGCTAATCGGGCCGATCGGGCTAATAGGGCTAGTCGAGCTAATCGGCCGGCCTCGCGGCTCCCTCTTGCCCTGGACCGTAGGACTAATCGTCAACATGTCTCAAAAGTACACGGTGTACAAAAGGGGAAAGCCAGACCCCGACTCGAAGCGGGCACTGGCTCCGCGGCGGTCTCGAGTCTGGTCAAAATTTTAATATCAAACACCCACGCCGTACCTCGCGCGAGAGGAACACCCCCGCCCGCCCCCTCCCTTTCTTTAACATTGCACTACTCCCAGCTGCTTTTAAAGTCTTAGCCATACGTACTTCGCTTATGCTTTACATTAGAAATCCGCCGTACGCTTTTACTCGATATTAATCGATATCTATTCGATAAGTTTTACCGCTAATCGTGCGACGCGTCGCGCCTTTCCCTCCGCGCCTCTGTCCTCCCTCCCCCCGACGCGGCGTGTCCCTCCGCTGTGAACGTCTTCTCGCCATTTTTTCTTCTTCTTTGGTATAAGGAGATCCCTACGATAGTAACGTAATAGTAATAGCGCTTGCAATAGTACTTGCGAAAATTGCGCGGTACTCGGGTCGGTGCGCGCGATAAGGGCGAGGCGGCGTCGGAAAGGCGTCACCCGAATCGAGGGTCTTTTTTTTTTTCCTCCCGTGTCCGTCGGTACGACATCCGGGTAATTGGGGTAACGAGACTCGTCGTCTACCTCCAAGTTGTCGGGCCCGACGGCTTCCGGAGGGAACCGGAGATACATCCGACGCCGCCCTTCCCCGCAAAACAATATACGCTTCTCCGAAACTATTGTAAACGCTATCTCTTGCCTAAAGCTACGAGATGTACAGTAAAGTTTAGTGTAAAAAAATAAAAACCATTTGTAAAATCACCCGCGAGCGGGACCGCGCGGACCGGAAAGGACCGGACCGGGAACCGGAAGTGCCGAGGTTCGTAGGGGTGCAGGCGCGGCTGCGATCGGGCGCGCGTTTTCCACCGACGTTTCCCCCTCCCCTGTCCCATCCAATTTTCCATCCCCCAATTTCCTATTTCCTATTTTTTCACTCCCCCGGAAATTCCCTTTAGAAAGTCAGGCGCGCGACAAAGCGAGCGAGATCTTCCTCGGGTCGGTACGAGAGAGACGCGAACGGCCGATGTTCCTTTGGACATCTTCCGATAGGTAAACCCCATTTTCCCTCTCCTTCGTTCTTTTTTTTTTCCCGCGCGGTCTCTTTATACCATTTTTCTCCTTTTTCTGGACTTCTGCGATTTTTCGCGGACTTTTTTCTACCCCACTTTGCCGGCCGCTCGCTTGCTCGCTCACTTTCCCTCGTCGCCGTCAAACGCACGATTACCATCAAACGTACACAACACACGAAACTTTGTCAAAATCTAATTTTCCCTAATCCCACCCCCGACCCCTCGTAATTATCTACTCGATCTCGTTACCCTTTCGTTCCTCCGATTTCTCGAGGGCAAAAAAGTTCACACCTCACCCTCGACGCCTCTTTAACTCTTTCTCTCTCTCGCCGCGTCCCTCCCTCTCTGAACTAAGATATTTAGACAAGAATATAACAGCAGTATAAAAAACTTTTCAACACTGAAAAATACAAATCTATCGTAAATGACTACAATATTACTCCATCCTCCTATCGCACCGACACTCCTCGTGTCGTATTAACCGGCTCTCACTCTCTCTCTCTCCCTATCCCTTCCTCTCTCTCCCTACCTCTTTCACCCGTTCACTCGCGCACTCGCTCGCTCACGCATACGCAAAAGTATTTGTTCCTTCTTATCATCTTCAGATAATCGCGTCTCGTATCCGTCCCTTATCCCAATCGTCCAGAGTCGGATCCAACTCGTAACGACACCTAGGGTCGATACGTCTCCAATTGTTATCAGCGCAAGGTTACTATTAATATTAATATTATTATTAATTGCCGTTGTGTCAAGTGTGATTTCTGGCGGGTGGATACAATCTCTCTCGCTCTCACTCTCTCTCTTTCTCTCTAACTCGCTCTTCCCCTTTCTCTCTCCCTCTCTTGCGCTCTCACGATCTGACTCTCTAGCTCTCGTTATTGTGTCAGTATCCGACGATGTTCACGTGTCGTGCGATTAGTACCTAATTTTCCTCCAATTACACATCCCTTTAAGGTCTGTCAGAATATATTAAATATTTAAATCGTTATTCAATTATTAATTATATATTAGTACTTTATATATATATAGTATTTATAGATTTTTATGTATATATATATATATAGTCGTCATATCATATTATGCTTTATCACACATATTACAAAGGAGGTGAAGAACCACACCTAACATATTTCCTTATCCCTTGCTTCTCTCCGTTCGCCTCTCCGTTCGGTCGGCCGACTCGAGGCGGGCGTTCCGCACGCGGGCGGTTCCCGTGCGTACCGGCGCTGTCCGACTCGTGGGGGGGCCGAGGGCGTCCCGACGCCGGAATCGCCGACGAGGGTGTCCCTCTCCGTTGAGCGTCGTCGCGGGCCAGTCCGCGCGGAGAACCGAAAATCCGCGAGTGATATGTCGGTCGAATCCGCGTGTCCGACCGGAAGAGCCGCGGAATCGCGACTTCCATCGGCGTCGGGCCGACGTCTAGGACACGCGTGCCCCGAGGAAGGCGCGCTTTCGAATCCTCCAAACGAACGAAAGGGTTTCTCGCGCCCGGTCAGTCGCGATTCCTCCGCAGGGCGAACGCGACGCGGCCGAGGGGCACGGAACTCCCGATATAGATTTAGCTAACATTAAGGAACACCAAAGGTTAACAAGAAAACTCGTTCGAATCCTCGTCTCTTGCCCAGTCTGACCGTACCTCGGAGAAGACGCCCCCGAGGGGGCGCGCTCCAGCTTCTCGACGCGCGTTTCCGCCGCGCCGCCGCGGCGGAAAGTGGGCCCCGCGGCGGCCGGGGCGCGGAACGCGTCGGCACATCGGACTATATTAAGCTACACACACCCACGTTGAAAAAAGTACGAGCGGAATTAGTCTCGCAAATATATGCATGTATATATATATATTTATATATATATGAACGCGCGATTCCTTGTGATAACGGGTCCGTTGCGTTCAAGAACCGCCATGGCGTGGGTGTCGGGCGGGGGAGGGGCACTTTACCCCGGCTCGTTTGAAAAAATAGAAAAATTTTGCCTAGAAAAATCGGTGGTCGCGGTCCGGGGGGGGTTTCCGTCGACGTCGTCTGGTCGCGGGTCGGGGCCCTGCTTCCCCCTCTTTGTCCCTCGTTTCTTCTTTTTTTTCCCCCTTCTCTACGTATATATATAATATATATACGATATATAGATCTTCTGCTCAATCATATATTCATGTATATATATAATATTTATATCAATGTATACTTCAGTTAATAATTGATTTAGGTAAATTGGTACCTAATTAAGTCTCCCTAAGGGTACGCAGCGCGATTACGACGGCAAGAGCATGTCACGCGTTACGTACGTATATATTCATATATATATACTCATATATTACACGCATATGTATAGAATATCTATTTATATGTATATATTTATAAATTTATCGGCGAGAGAAGTTACCTTTCGGAGAGAGCAATAAAGAATTCCCATCTCCTTCCGGCCTGCCTCCTCGGCTCCGGTTGCGCCTTTGATTTTCTCCGCGGAGGGGAAACCGGAAGTCGGCGGTACCCCCTTCCGAAATTGCACTAACTAACACCGAGCCGCGTGCACCCCGTCTCCCTTCCACGTCGTATTTTCCCATTTCCCCGCGGATCTCGTTTAATCGCTCGTACCCTCTCTCAGCGTGCGTCGATCCTCCGTTTCGGTGTTCCGGAAGTCACGCCCCCGGTGAACCCATCCTTCGGAATAACTCTTAAGCGGAATCGAGTGGACATAGAAAAGGTCTCCTAAGAATGAGGGGTGTCGTCGATTCGCGGGATCGGCTCGGTCGGTAACGTCTTCCACCTCCGCCACCCCTTTAGCCGGACCGGAAACGCGAGGCGGACCAACGTCTCCCGATCGCCGAGGGCGATTTTCTAAAATGCCCGGGGTAGCCAAACCTCCCCCTGACGGTGCCGACCATGGGTTTCGCGAAGCGGAACGTTTTTCGAAAATCCCCTCCCCCCCGAAGGGGGAAAAGTCGAGCCCGCGGGTGTCGCTTTCGACGAGGGACCGGGGGATGGTCTGCGCGTGCGCGTGTCCTATATACCGCGGACCTCGAGGGTGTCCTCCGCAAGCCTACGTGTAATTATATATCGCGTACCTAAGGGCCGCCTTCTATGGCGGCAAGTATATATATATACAAAAAGGAGACCAAAAAAATAAATATATGTATATATATGTATATGTATATGTATGTATATATAGGTGGAGATTACTTCGTGTCCCGTCGTGCTCCCCCGTCGTGGCGTGCACCGCGGGTCCACCCGTGCCAACCCGGAACCGACCACGAGGAAATCGAGGAAATCGCGGAAATCGATTTCCACGACCCCTCGGATGCTCCTCGTCGCCGGTCGGACCTTGGTACGGCGACCGATCGATCGGCGCGATTCGATTACGTGCAATTTTACGGTTCTACTGTGTGGAGGGGGGGAGGGCGCTTCGGTACGAAAGGGGGACACCGCCGAGAGAGGGACAGGAGTCGGATTTCCCCGGCCACCGTTCTCGAGTCGCGATCGATCCTTCCGACTTTTCTTTTTTCCTTTTTCCTTTTTTTTTCTTTTTTTTTTCTTTTTTCTTAACGAAGAGATCCGCGTCGATTCTACCCGCGACGTCGTTCATCGATACGTCGATACGGTTATGACTTTGGAATAGAGGCGTTTAACGGATAGTCCAGATACCGATTTTCGAATTGCGGATCTCCGCCGACAGTGGGAACGGTGGAAACCGGGGAACCCGACGAAAACGTGCATCCTCGCTAAGGACGAGATTCCCGCACCCTGTTCGAGATATCGAACATACCGACACCGAATCGAACTCGAAATCGGCCCTAACTAATAACATGCGAGACCGAAAGACCCCCCGGGTCGTCCCTGGACCGTCAACCCACGGAGTAAAAAAAGGAGTTCCCAATCCCACAAACCCCTCCGTAATTTCAAACTCCCTCCCGATCGCGAGGTCTTCATCGGATCGAAAAAAAACTCTCCACCCCCGCGCGAACCGCCGTTTCCAAAAGACCGCACTCGTCAACCTCCACTCCGAGGATTAATAACGAAGGTCAAAATCGAAGGAAAGGGGGAAATTACCCGAGACCGGGACGACCGGTAAATCCCTCGTTACAGCCGTGGACGCGATTTCGAGAGGACCTGGATTTCCCCCGAAAAGATGGAAGAAATCGAGGGTCCGTCTCGGAGTCGGGTGGCGGCGAGGCCGACCCGAGCCTTCTTCGCCTCGACAATGGGCCAAACGGTTTATTTTATTTTTTTTTTTATAAAAGTTGTCAAATCGGCTAATGCGTCTTGTTCGCTCGTGCCGACACGACTTGTCGCGTACGCCGAGCGGTTTCGGGCGAGGTCGCGCGGCCGCAGGGCGGAACCGCTTCGAGTCGACCTCGACCTCCTCCGTCGCCGTGGACTCTTCTCGCGACTCGTCTCGTCTCGGGTCGTCGTCTACGTCCGGGTTGTAAGACTTTTACATAGAATTAGTAAAAAATCCGCAAAAAGCGCGACCCCTCGAGTGGCGCACCACCGAGAGCCGTACACACGTACCTATTGCAACGTCGCGTAAAGGTAAAGTCCTTAACAGCTAGGAGAGACTGTGTGGAGTACGGAAAATTGTCTAATACACAGCGGTAAAGCGTGGGACCTCGTGTACGTGTGACAGTTTGTGGGTGCATGGGTGTATGGGTGTCGAGTGTTCGCGCGCCAATGTGTGTCGGTGTACGCGTGCGCGCGGAGTCGCGTGTAGCGAATGTCCATGTACGGGTACCATTTTCGTAATTCACTTTAATATTTAAACGACGCCAGCCCATCCCAAAGCGAGGCCTCGGCGTAGGGATTTGACCCACGGTGTGACCCCAGACCGACCAAGCCTCCCAGAAAAAAAAAAAAAACCTCGCATCGCTCCAAGATTTCGCCACTAGTTAGTTATACCGTCCTGGGAACCACGCGGGACCAGTTTGGGACAGTTTGGAATTACCGGGACTACCGCCTGGGACGTCTCGAGCCTTTCGCCGGTCCGAATGACCCTACCTGGTACCCAGGACCATCACCGTGGAACGTCTACCAACAACCGGTTGACCGTCAACGTTGATCCCCCGGAAGAGCACGTTTGAGTTTGGCTCCCTCCAGCCATTTAACTCTGAGAATTTCCGCGGATGTCCAGGAAGTCCCAAACGTGAGTCTCCACGGGATCAATCCCGACGGCCGATTAAAAAACCCGTGCGGTACCGATTCCTCCAGAAAAACCTCCATACCAAGGTCGACTTGACTTGCCACCTACCGTGGAGAACTCGCTGGTCTCGCCTAACGCACGCAACCAACGCGACCAGAAATATAGCCGCTATCGAGGTTGCGATTCTCACCATCCGGTTCTTCGACCGATCCGCAAGGTCTCCTCCGCTCGTTGTCTCGTGCCGATGCGTCGCGGAGATCCGGGATTCGGGTCCAGGTTCGAGTTCAGCTGCGGATGCAGGTGCAGGTGCCGGTTCCGCTCCAGCTTCCGATCTCGGTTTGGGTCCGGGTCCATGGTCGTTCTCCAAAAAGTGCAGGCACCGCCGAGGTTGGGACCAAGCGGTGTCTCCCGAGTAATCGGTAGTTGCGGTAGTTATAGTGGTAGCAATAGTAGTAGTAGCATAGTAGTGGTAGTAATAGTAGTATTAGCGGTTGGTGGTGGTAGTAGTGACGATCGGGTAGTAGGTAAGGTATAAGGGGCTTGGTAGAAGTGTTAGTTAATTAGCTAGGGCCGCGAGATATTTAGGGACGATGCAGCTGGGGTTAACACCAGCGAAAGGGAACAGCCCTTGGCCGATCCGCACCTTCCTTCACCAGCGGCTTGTGGAACTCCCGACCTGGCCGGGAGTGGATGGTTGCCCAGCAGTGCTCGCAGTAGTACTGAAAACGCAAAGACGAGAGGCGGTCAGGGGACCCGTTGAGAGAATAAGGTTACGCAACGTTAAGGTTACACCTCGAGGGACCTCGGGGGGTGTTTACCTGGAGGCAAGTGACGTTCGCACAGAAGAAGGGCGCGAACTTGCCACCGCAGCGCTGACCTTGGCACTCGTCGCACATTTGGTCGTCGAGAACGTAAGGCTTGACCTCGACCTACGATTCGATCGGGAAACATTGAAAGGTCGATTTTTACCCAGCGGTTAAAAATGGATATCGTCCGAACGTCTACTAGGGAACAAAGTCGTGGCGGTACCAACCCTCTTGTCGATGTCGCCGTGTTGAAGTTGGACGAACCTCGCGGATATGGCGGCAATGTAGCTCTGCTGATTGCTGAAGGCGACCCTGCCGGCACCCTTGGGATACTTGAGTTCAGGGTCGGTGTCGATGCCGGCGTAGCAGACACCCCCGTACAGTCGGTCCATGATCATGGCGAGTTCCACGGCCTTCAGGGGCCGGGGAACGCCGCCCACGAAGACGGTCTTCCTGGGGTCGAGAGGCATGGACGCGTCCAGGACGAAGTCCGCGTCGCTTAGCCGCCAGGGTCGAATCTGCACGGGCTTGTCCTTGATCGTCGGTGAGCTCACGCACAGGTACAGCTTGTCGTCGTCCTGGATGCAGGCGTCGATCAGCTGCTGCACCGAGCCTTCGTCCTGAAAGAGATTTCTCCTTCAGATATCCGGGAAACGGCGCCGATGGCAACGAGCCTCCTCGACGGCAGGTAACGGGACGAGAGATCGCCTTAGGAGAAACGAGGACGAACCTGGAAGAGGAGGAAGGCGTAGCCCTTCGGAGGGAAGTACGATTTGCTTTCCGCCTTGTGCGGCCAGTCGACCACCAGCGGTCCGAATCGCCGGAAGCTGGCCGTGATCTCATCTGCGGATATAAATCGATACATGAGTGACTCGACGAATCGTGCGAGACGCGATATCCGAGCAATCGACGCCTCGGTCGACCCGGGCCCTAATCGAATTGGCGGGCAGGTGTCGATTGGTCGCCCTTGGGCCCAACCCCGAAGAGCTCGGAATTTTCGCACCTACGCCGTCTAATGAGAAACTACTCAATTATCCGGGATCTACTTTCGTACCTCGTAATCAACACCCATTGAATTACCCCGTACGCTTTGCACGGAGTAATTAAACGAGTGTTCCAATTACAGAAGCGCTAATTAGACCTCCCCCTCGCGGCCCCCGTCATTACTCGGCTATCTTTCAAGTATCACCTTTGTTTACGCCGTACTTGGGGGGGTGTTTAAAGGCCGGAGGAAACACTCGAAAGAAGAAGAAAAAAAAAGAGAGAAATCGACGCGAATAGCTCTTTCGCGAAACGATGTCCGACATTTTCCCCATGTCCGAGAGAGGAGAAATCTCACCTTCGTCGATGTCGGGCGGGAGTCCGCCGACGAAGACCTTCCTGGAGAACCGCTCTCCGGTTTCGCTGCCCTGGCTGTGGGGGCTGCTGCGGCTGGGGGATGAAAGGGGCGCAGCCTGGGGGGCTGTCATGCCCCCGCCGACCCCCACGCCCACTCCAACCCCGACGCCGTCGAGCTGACCCGCCGTGCTCGGATCCTCCAGAAGAGTGCCCTGCTCCTCGAGACTCGTGAAGAACGGGGATTTGCCTGCAACACGGCGGAAAGAGAGAGACCGCGTCAATGACACCTGACTTTTCCTCGATGCGACGAGATACCTCCCCCGCCCTGGAGGAGGAGGCCGGAGGCGCCAAAGGGACTCGCCACGTCTCCGAATATCCGGACTCACTGAATCGCCTCTTTACGGGAAACATCGCTCTTCTGACGAAAGTTGCCATCGCTCCACGGACAGGCCTATCGATGGCCGATCGACGATACCGAACCGTGGTCGCGAAATCGATAGTTCAATCGGATCGGACCGCGAGACGCGTTGTTTATGCCGTTTCTCCCGTTGCCAGGGGAGGACCTCGACGAAGGAAAGAGCGAAGACGAGCGCCCGATTGGTCGCTCTCCGTGGAAAGAAAAAAAAAAAAAGAAAAAAAGAAGCGAATCGCTGCGGCCAACGACGCCCGAATTGTGCCGCCGATCTAGAATTGACCTGTTTCTTTCGGCGCATTCGATCGCAGGATTATGCGATTACGATTGGGCGTATTTCGTTGAGTCGATCTACTTATCTTTTTTTTTTCTTTTCTTTTTTTTTCGCAGCGGACGAACATTCGTCGAGATCTTTACCTCGGATCCAGATGCCGTACATTCTCGAAAAGGCGGACGATCGCTCCACGGAGGATTTACTAAACCGCTGTCCTCGAGGGGAGATCGAGCTTCGTCCACTCCGGTCGCTCGGTCGAATCCTGTCGCCGGAACTGGGAAAGCCTCTCGAGTGGCCAAAATTTTCCCGAGAAAGTCGAGATAGGGAGAAAGTGCACCTTGCGCGAGGACTCGGTGCCAAGTGGTCGGGTCGGCGGATCGCTCTGGAATTTCGCGCGTGAATTGTTTATTCGCGGCGAGCGCGCGACCGGCGACGACGTTGCCGAAATTCCGCTATACCGGGTACGCCGGAAATCCCGGCCAAGTATCCAGAAGATGAAAAATCGCTCCGGGAGGTATTTCGGTCGAACGATTATTTGGACATAGCCGCGGGCTTATCGGGCTCGGTAATCCGCAGGAGCGCGTTGGAAAGTTCTACGGGGAGGTCGGCTCGACTTTTCGAGAATCGACCGAGGAGTCACCCGGGACGAGCCGGGGTTCAGCTCTCGGCGAGGCGCGGTCCCCGCCTTTTCTCGGAGATTTGCATGGTAAAAATCATTCCCCTCGGGCAATCAGGACACCGGCGCCCCAGGGAGAAGTCGTCGGATAGGGCTTTCGGGGACGACGAGGCGCGTCCGCCCCGATTGCGGAATTACCCGGCCAGTCACCCCCTAGGACCTCGAGCGGCATTTTTCCCGATTTCTCGGAGACTTCCCTCCAGGTCGCCCGATCGACGGAATCGAGAGTCTCTCCCTCGCGTTTGGCATCCCGCGAACCGACGGCCGGCGTCCGCGTCGACGTCCGCGGGAGAACGGCCAGGAACGTGCATACAGCGACGGAACGGTGCCGTATCGATTAGGAGCCGAGAGCTCTCGAGCGTTGCGGCCGACCTACCGAAAACGTGCGCAATCCGGAGCGAGGAGCTCGCATCGAGATACGACGTACAATTGCGGATAAGAGAGATCCCTTCGGTCGCGACCCTCCCGGCAAAATTCGAGTTTAATTCGAGGCCGGCGTTAGGTTAATCCGCGGGCATCGGACGCGGGTCGGACGCGGAAAGCCACGCGAAGGTCCCGCGGAGATCCGGCGAGATCCTCTCTCGCCCGTTGGCCCCGCGTACAATTTTAATCCCTCCGTCTCTCTCTCTCTCTCTCTCTCCCTCTCCGGCCGCCCTCCTCGCCTCCGACGCGCCTCCCTCTCGCTCTTTTCCCCTTTCCTCGCAAACCGCATCCGCCGTATCGATTTAACGTGCCCCAAGTGCAGCTCCGTGCTCGAGCATGCAGCGGAGGGCTCGCGGCGTGCCGGCGAAGAGCTCGCGGACGGGCACGCGCGACTGCCCGGCGGAACGCCTGCGGCGACGCGTATGCGGCATGCGTGGAAAAAAAAAAAATAAACGTCGCAAAAGGGCGGACAGGAATTAATTCACGCGCGCGCATTTCCCTTCCCTCTGGACGAAGCGAAGGGCCCAAGAGGTCTTAAGTTCGAGCACGTGAATTCGACGAGCGAATCGTTCGGCCGCGGGATGCGTGGGTGGACCCGCGGGTCGGCCGGCGCGTTCCCCCCGCGGGAGCGGAACGCACTATCGGGGCCACGCGGTTAACGGCGTTAACGCGCTCATCATTGAGGATATCCTCCCGAGGAAAGCGGGGACGCGGTCGAAACGGCGTGACGCGCCTCGTAACGGAGGGGAAAACGCCGCAGCCGGGACGCGGAATTTTCCGGCCGAGTTTTACGACGAGCTTAACGCTAAACTTGGCCGAGATGAAAAGGTCCCCCGCCATTTTTCCGAGCGAGAACTCTCGAAAGAGGCGAACCGGGCCGGATGAAATTCCGCCGCGGGAAGTCGAGGCGGATCGGTGCCAAACGACCGGAAGTCGTTCCGATCCCGATCGGCCGCTATCGAGCCGGCCCGCGGGGGACGTTTCGCGCCCTTCCGATACATAACCTCGAAATTAAGCTCGTTAGGTTTTACGAGCCGATCCCGGCCGAGACGTCGCCAGTTTCCGCGCGGTTTGCCCCGGCACTCGAGCCCCGAGAGTTCCGGCGGTCGCCATCTTGGAGAACGTCGGCACGCGGAATTTACTCGGGGCTTCGGGGCAACCCAAAGATCCGGAAAGGACATTCCCTCGGGAAATCATGGATTTTAATACTCGATATCGGTGGAAATCGACCACCGTCGCAATTTTAAAACCGAACGTCCCTTATCACCGAATCGCATTGCTGCGTATCATACGAAACCAGAGGCTATCGATTCACTCGCAGGAAATCGTTATCACAGATTTCCAAGTTAACAGACCCTCGTTTCGAGGGCTAAAATCCATAATTTCCTGAGTGGACGAACGGAACGACCTGCCCGCTCCCCCGGACCTGGGCCGAGGGGATCCCGGGGTTAAATATACCGAGGAGGAATCGGTCGTTGCGCGTCGTCTCCTCGTCGTCTCCTCGGCCCGTCCTGGGCCGAGGTATTTTCGTAGCTCGTATACCTCGGAGCCGACGAGTCAAAGTCGACGCCGCCGTCCCCGGCGATCGTTCGTCTGGTGAATTTGCGACCAGGGAGATGGGAACGCCCGCGATTCGGTAATTCCGCGAATGGGAGGAAAGGGGGAGGGAGGTACCTCGCGGATGTGCCGATTAATTATTTCCTCCTCGATACGGTGCCGGAGGTGGGGCGACGAGTCGGAAAAGTTTCGAGAGGCAAGACCGGGTTGCCCCCACACCCCCCGGGGGGAGGGGGCTGATATTTCGAGCCCTCCTGGGGAATCATTTCGGTCGACGACGCTTCGAGTCGCGACGAGACGAGACCGGCAACTTTGCGTGTCGCGATTATACGTCCCGGGGGTTGGGGCGGATGGAGCAGACGGGGCGGATCGGGTGGAGGGTAAAACAAACGGCTCGCGGATGTAATGGAGCATCGCGCGACGGCACGATCATCCGCAACCCCTTCGGGTGCCCCCGCCCGAGGGGACGGGGGCAATCGGACCGCGCATATTCGCGATTAATATTCAAAGTGGAGTTCGGACTTCTTGGGGGAGATCGTCCTCGATGCGCGTCCCCTCTCTCTCCCATTTCTATGGAAATCTCGCGATTGCGGGTTTCTTTCGTTCCCGGTGATTTTGACCGGTCGTCCCCGCCGGGTCGATCTTGTCGACGATTCGGTGAGACGCCCCCGAAGACCTTCCTCTCGACTTGGGATTAATATTTAGCGCAGCCCCGAGACATCCGCGGATGCACCCTTTCGACCCCCTCCTGCCCGATTATTAATGCAGATTCGCTCGTTCGCCCTTCGTCGCGGTGGAGGCGCGCGATAACCCGAAGATTGGCTCCAATCGAGCCACCCCCGACCCAATCGCCTCTCGTTTTCGCGATATCTCGCAAAATGATAAACGCGGATCGACGTGGCGCAACGTCATTCCCGATTTCCCCCGGTCAATTCCCTCGCTTCCATCCCCTCGACTAGTTATTATTCATGTACGTTTAGGCGTCCACGCGTTAAGTAACGCGACGTCGCGACGCGTCGGGCATCCGGCTCGATCGACGAGGCGCAAAACGATGCGCAGTATCCGCGGTGACGCGATTAATCGTAAGATATCGAATCGACGACCGAACTCGACGGAAATTGGCGAAATGGAAGGGCAAGGTGTATCGCGGGCGTAAAGGTTAACTTCTTCCCGGCTCGATTCGAGAAGGGCAAAAGGAAGAGGACGCCACGGAAACGTCCCCTCTCGGCGTCCCCTCGAGGGGGGCTCGAGTCCTTTTGATTAATCGAACGAGTTTTATCGGTCTCGCATCTTTTTACCGCGACCGCGCCCTTAACGACGCCGTAACCCTCCCGAGCGTGTCGGGAAGGGTCGCGGAAAAGAGGGTGGAAAAACCCTACGGGCTCGGATCGGGTAGATCCCTCCCTCGATCTCCCGGAAACGGTCGAGAAATTAACCTCGGCGACCGTTCCCCGGGACGCGACGACCGTTTTCTTATTTTTTTTCCTCGAGCCGCGGGTCGCGGAATCCCCGGATCCGAGATAAGACAAGGGAGACAGCGATCTCCCGTTTTCACCCCTCGACCCGATGCCGCGGAATTGCATTCCGTCGAGGGCTCCGGAGAGGGCAACGTCCCGGGAAAACGACGGCCCGCTTGCGCGGGAAATTCTCCGGGAAATTTATCAGGTTACCCTAATGGAGCCGACCCTCCGAGGGGGCGAAGGAAGAGGGGAGAGACCCGTAACGACGATCGGTAACTTTATCGGCGCGCGTTGTCCGCTAATGGACGGAGCTCTCTCGTCCGCGGCCGATCCGCTCCGCATCTGGACCCCATTTTCCGGCCACTTTTCCCCCACGGGGGCGAAATTCCCCCGAAGCGCGCGAGGGTATCGGGGATGACTAATCACCGAGAATTCTCCGCGAGGA